TTTTCATTAGCTGCAATTGAAGAATATGGTAGGTAAAAACGAGCCAAAACAAATGGGAATAATATCACTAAATCGACTTCAATTTTTAAGTTGGGCTTTGGTTTTTTGTCCCTGATGCAGACAAAAAAATTATCATTTTATGTTTTTTTTCCTATGTTGTGGACACTAGGTAATTTTGTACTCTATATTTTTTTTATTTTTGTATAACCCGTGATCATGCTTGGGTTTGATGCTCTCAAGTCAGTACACTCCATTACCTTTCCACTTGTGTTTTATTGCTCCTTTTCTCTTGTGGCCTTTAGTTTTCCCTAGTGTCTATTGGTTTTCCCTGTTGTCTACTAGTTTTTCCTATTTTCTACTCGGTTTCTCTGCTGGTTGTTCGGTTTCCCTGCTGGCTGCTCGATTTCCATGTTGTCTGGTTTGGTTTCCCTGCTGCTGGTTGCTCGGTTTTCTCTTTGTTGTTTCCTATGCAGGATTCTTTCGATTTCTCTTTTGAGGGTTGTGCTGGGTGATTCTTATTGGTTGTTTTGGACACTCATTTATTGGAGTTAATAAATGCCCTTTCCCCTCCTTTCTCCTATAAATAGTGCTGAATTTCACTATGCAGAAGTTGTTGTGGTTGGTGAAAACAAATGTGAACCTGAGGGATTTTAGCTTGCAAGCTAGTCTTCTCCCTATCCTCTAATACTTCGTCTGAGTCTTCTTTCTACTTCTTCTCTCCACAGTTTCCCTTCAACATGTATCTTTCTTCTCTTCAATTTAAAATAAAATAAAAATCTAAGGGTTTCTTCTAAGCTTGCGAGCTTGTCTTCTACCTTCCCGCTATTTCTTCGTCTCGATCTTCTTTTTGATTCTTCTCTCCATGATTTCTCTTCCACCTATATCTTTCTTCTCTAAATATTGTGAGTTGTATGGCGTTCGCCCTATTCTATTGATATTTGCTAGAGGAGCATTGGCCTATGTTGGATAATAATTTATGTGGTGGTTATCTAGTTTTTCCTTTCCTTTCATCATCATTTCTATTTTGTTTTTGCATGTGAGGTGATCATACATAGTTGTTCTGAGGGTATTTTAGTTTAGATGTTTGATTCCTTGTGCGTCTTCCTAGCTATTTTCTAAGCTTTGTTTCCTACTAAGTTTCCATCATTTGTGTTTATTTATGTGATATTGAAAAGAATTGTTTTAGTTTGCATTCTTAGTGTTCTCCTACTTAATTTTAGAATCTAGCTTGCATCAATTTGGTATCAGAGCCTTAGGTTGCATCAGTCCACCCATAAATGGTGCCAAAAATCCTAAAACATCAATGCATATAAACCTTTCAAACAACAAAAAGGCTTTGGCATAATTCATTGGACCCATTAGATCAAATTTGCAAAAAGGCATTTTGCTAGTTTATCCACAAATTTGTCAGATTTTGCTATTGGGTCATTGTTCTCTAAAACCCTTCACTTTAGTCTATAAACTTCTGTTTTTCAATCATTGTGGTCCATTTTGATGGATTCAATTTATATTTTCCATTTTGTTCAATCATGCGCAAATTATATAATCCTTCAAGATATTTTATAAAAACTTTTATTTATATAGCATATCTCGAGCTAATGAATAAAAGAAACTTTGCCATTAACTTACCATCCCATTACTTAGTTCCCAAGAGAAACAAATAAGAGAACTTTGAGTGTCTAAAAAAGCAAAGCAGCATGAAACGCAAACATCAACTTCTTCAAAAATTTCAACTACTTGAAAATTTCATATATATAAAATATGATGTCATAGGAAAAGTTGAATTAGTGAAATATTTGAATTTTATTTTTTGTATGGAAACCAAAGCTCCAAGTTGTTGCAACTAAAACACAATAGAAAAATATTATTGTTCTGTTAATTTTATCATTTCCCCTAGCACGTACTGTACATTTTTTGTTTGTACTAACATTTCAGAGAAATCATACTCCAGACTGCTGAAGACTTCAAGACAGAGTAGATTAGGATTTCATGTAATGAAATCTGTAATTTTTTTTATTTTATATTATTTTTTCTTGAGTCTGAAAGAATGTGATTGTAATTAAATAACCGTGCACACACACACTAGGGGAAAGTCAAAACTTAAAATTTTAAAGCTAATCATACTATACGATCGTACTAGACGATTTGTCATAATTTTTCCTACAAAATAAAGTTAATCAAATCATGTCTTGTATTTTTGCACAGTTTGTACTATATGATGTCAATTCGTACATATGACTAATAGAGTACGAAATAGGATGTGTACCCGTTCGTCCGAAACTAATTCATTTATTTTTGTATAGTTCGTATTGTACGATGTTAATTCGTACAGACGACTAACATAGTACGAAATTGGGTCATCTACATTTGATTTGTATTAACTATTCGTAATGTACGTTATCAATTCGTACTGTACGATGTCAGTTCGTACATACGATTAATAAACTACGAAATAAGTTTCGTACATTATCGTATCAAACGAGTAGGTTCAGGTTTGAACTGTTAGTACAATACGATGTCAGTTCATATAGACGACTGACAGAGTAAGAAATAAGATTCGAACAGGATCATACCTGGATTTTTTGAACTGTTCGTACAGGATATCCTTGATCGTACTGTACGATCTTAAGTCGGTTCACTTGTAACATTCAGTTTTATGGATGATTTTTCTTGTATTTTCTATATAAGAGTCCTAAAAACTGACACTCAAAACTTTTGCTACAATTTTCTCTTGAGAGTGGCCATTGAGTGTGAGTGTTTGGGAGAGATTGTGAGAGTGAAGTGTGAGAGATCAAATGAGGGAGAGTTGTAAGGGATTCACAAGGTAGCCCAAGGCGATGATCTCTTTTTTTTCTTCAAATTTGTTTCCATCTCATCTGGAGGCTTTTGAGAGAAAATCTTCAACATTGTGTCGTGGTATACAACCGTCACCAGGAGAGTGAAAAAGGACGAAGGTTCGCTGCCGTCACCATGAGGGTGAGAAAGGACGAATGTTCTTTGTCATCAGCAGGAGGGTGAAAAAGGACGAAGGTTATTTACCGTCACCAGGAGGGTGAGAAAGGATGTCGGTACTCTGCCGCACCGAGTTGGTGGAAGAGAGTTTGTAAGGGTTTCTCCGCCTTGTTGTGAGGGCAAAATGAGAGTCATTTTGATTTAGTGCAATTCAGAGAGTGCACGTAGGTTTAATTTGGGTCGAACCACTCTAAATTTAGTGTTCTTCTGTTCACTTTACATTTTCAGTTTTTTTATTTTTCTACACTTTAAAATTTTATGGTTGAAAAATTTATTGTGATAATCATTTTATTACACAATTGCATATTTCAGGATTATTGTTTAAACTTTCTAAAAACAGTTTTTGAAAATCCAAGAAATTTTTAAAATTACCAATTCTCCCCGTCTCTTAGTTAGCCTTGGGACAGTTCAATAAGGTCTAACAATCTACTCAAACTTTCACAAGTCATCATCAAACCACAAACCAATAACTTGAAGTTTAACTTGAAAATCAGACATTCCCTTCAGAAATTAAATCAAGTTATATTTCTTATTCACCTTTCAAATTTATATGAAGTAACCAAGCAACCTCTACCAACATGGTCCTTTAATTCTTCTCCTCATTCATCACATTAGGTATTCTAAACAATATATCAAATAATAAAAACATTTATAGGAATGGAGGCATATGGAATTTTCAACCCTATAACTTCCACAACATTTTTTTTCCTTCTTTCTCCTAACATAAGACAGCGTTTTAGTGCCAATTTAGGCTTCGTTTGATTCGGTTTATGCTTACATAAAAATGTGTTTTAGAAAAAGAGATTGAGGAAAAGTCGTTCAATAAAATGGAGTTTCAATAATGAGATATATTTGACTAATATTTTTAAAAGTGCTTATTAATACTTGAAAGTAATTTTAAATTGTTTGTTTAGGAGTTCTGCTTTTGAGATTTATTATTTAATACTTGAAAGTAATTTTAAATCAGTAATTCGCTTCCGAAACTCCGTTTTGTGACCGAAGAAGCAGATACGAAAAGAATTTTGTAACCGCCGAAAAAATGATGTTTATTAAAAAGGAATTATTGTTAAGCTTTGATTCCAAACAGTAAATACTAATTGATTTCGACTTATTTAAACGGAAACGGAGAAAAAAAACCTTATCAAACGAGGCCTTACACTTCAGGTGGAATGGATTGGTCGCAGACATACATAATGATAAATAAGGACAAGAACTTACGATCGGGAAAACAAGAAAAATAATGAAGGTGCAGAAGGGCAACAAGATAATTAGATGATAGAAAAAAACATTTCAAAGTATGACGACTAAGTGATAACAGCAAGCAAAATTCTTCATATTTGCAAATAAAGACACAATTTAAAGGTTATTTTTATTTCGACCATATACCATAAATAAAATCCTAGTCATGATGCAAAGCAAGTAATATACTTGGAGAAAATATGCATATGTAATACCCTGTTATTGTTTTGGATGACAGTTCGTAAAAGAACATGCATAAATAGATAGCTACACTTTCATATCAAGATATTAATAGTGTGTAACTGCAACAATTGGCACATGAAGCTTATGCATCAAAAGCTTTGACAACCCCAAAAATTTTATCAATTCAAATATTACATATCACAAGTTCACAACTTAAAAAAAAAAAACAAAAAAGCTTGCTGCCAAACTGGTAATGGAGAATAGACTGTTGTAAAAGTGATCTATACGCACATTCCAAAATAGGCAAATGCGGCAACTCAAAAAATAAAAAATAACAAAAACAACACCAACATCAAACTAAATACACTGATTTTAAGAAAAACACAAGTTCTGTTATGCCATGTAAATCTAAAAAGCATCTCAGGATGATTAGAAGCTTAATAAAATAGATTAGACAATTAAGAAGATCAATTGAAATTGATTTACTAAGCTTCATAAATCCAATAAAGCAACAAAATTTTGAACACAGAGTTCATCCACATAGCTTATCTGTGATAGACAATTACCTCTCCTCTACCACCAAAAAAAGAATAATTGAACTCCTCATCATCAATCCCAAGATCTCGAACCAGTGCAACTGCATCATCATCATCTTCTAGGCCCCCTAATTCAACTTCTTCCACAGTGTCCTTACCAAAAAATGCATACTGTGAAGAATCAAAGCAAGAACTATCTGCAAAAATAGCAAACATCACAGTAAAGCATAACATAATCAGATTTGATCAATACAATAAAAAATTAAGATAAATGAAGAGAGAAAAATAGCTAAAGTGCTCGATGGAATGGTTAATTTAACCATTCAACTGAAACTACAAAACAATAAATGAAGAAGATGAGCTTAAAAACATGGAAATGTCAGTCATGCAGCTGAAATTCAAATTTCAGCTTTAGGTTTTAACTAAGCATAAGGAAAGCAGACATACGAAACAACAAACGTGACCTAAAGAGACATGTCAGTGCTTATTTAAAAGCTAACATATCAAATAGATCCAGAATTCAATATGCAGAGAGAAAGAAATATCAAGAACCAGCATATGTGATGAAAACTACAGGAAGTTACAAAATAAATGCAAGCATAGCATAGACAGCAAAACTCTGCACATTAAGCACTAATCCATGGCACAATAAACGAAGATCAAAATTAATCAGTAGCACAACCCCGAGCTGTCAGTTAACGCTGAAGGCTGTTGCATGATTAAGATCATCCAGTCCCAGTCCATCAAAAAATACAGCAAAATACAATCAGAACAACCATTTCCAAAACAGACGGCAACACCTAGCATCACAACCCCAATTTCAGAACACTAAGCCCACAAAAGCATCGATCGCAAAAATAATTCGCTAGCATCCTCAAGAGATGCTACCGCAGAAACCCTGAAACACCCAACAATCTTCGCCGCCGCAACAGATCCACCAAACCACGCTGAACTACAACCACATATAAACAAAACGCAAATACCACACATACACGCACACAAAAAAAAGCGAGAGAAAGAGAGAGTGAAAGAAACTGACCTGCTACAGGATCGCCGAACTCCTTCGGACAATCATCGGAGTTAGGGTTTCCAGAAACCCCACCCAACCCTTCGATTCCCTTCATCTAACCCACCTACCTCACCGACTCCACGCTACAACCCGATCACTCCTATCCCTAAACAAGTAAAACTCTTCAATGGAACGACCGACCTCAAAGCCTTTCAGATTCAGCGGCAGAGCCAACGATACAGACTACGCAGCGCTAGCGGCCAGCGGCGCTGTGCCCTATAAATTAAGAGAAAAAAAAAAAGTATCGAAAAGGATCAAATGGGTCGATAACTTAATTGCCCTGCAGAGATGAGAGAGAGAAAGAGAGAGAGTTTCTTGGTGGAGGGCGTTGCTCCTTGCGGGCTATCTTTTTCCCTCCACGGAGAAAGACCGAGAAAGATGGGTGGTTTTATAATTGTAAATATTAATTATTAGTATTTTTTTTTTGCTTTTTAGTGATTATTATAATAATTGAAAATAACTAAGATGAAATTCTATTAAGTTATACAAGCAATTGATCTGACAATGGATGTAGATTGGTGCATGATTAGAGATCGTCAAAATTAGAAAAACTATTAAGTGTGGTGTTCAAATGTGTTCGGATGTCAATACGAATATGTCGTCTCATTTAATGTATAGTACATTGGATGACATGACTTGTCCGAATTGATCTTCGAACACGTTTGAATAACTCACAGAATAATCTCTCCAAAAATGATAGAATATTCTTTCTTTATTATTTCAAGGATATTCTATTGATTCGAGAGTGTAATAATGAAAAAAAAAACAGTATTAAAATATTAGGTTGCGTATTAAAATTTAAATTTATTTTAAAATTACTTTAATATATTAAAAAGGAAAAATAATCGAATAGGCAGTCAATAGTAGCGGAACTAGCCTTAATTTTTAGGGTGGACAAAACTTATAAGTAAAAATGTAAAGATTTTGCATATATGCCGGCGGTCCAAGGGGGCAGCGCCCCTTGGCGGAAACAAATTTTAGTTGTAATGATATTTTTGAATTCTTTTTATTATTTCTCTTTATATTTTGGTTCATCGTTCCATAATAATAACAACTACACAGTGTTTAATTATGTTTGGGGCAATTGCTAAATATCATAGTATTTTAAAACTTTTAGAGTGAGCAATTGCCTAAAAATTCTTATAAGAAATACTAAAAAATAGATGACGGTGGACAAATTACCTAAAAAATTATATAATTTTTTAGGGGGGGCAATTGCCCCCCTAAACATTAGGTAGATATGTCCCTAGTAGTCAATTATATAAAAATATACACATCTCACATTGTTCCATTGATTGTGAGATTTAACTATCAACTAAGATATTTTGCGTTCGAGTCATACGTATCTGATGAATGTATGTTTTTGTTTTAATTGTTGTTTTAATTGATCTATATGTTTCAAAAAAATTATATAAATATATGAATTTATTTTAATTATTTTTAATCAATATATTTTAATATATTTTTTTAGATAATAAATTTTTTTATTGATTGGTTTTTTATTTATTATAAAAATTGGCTTTATTTATGATGTAAATTTATTTGAAAAATAAATGAGTATGGCAAATTAAGCTTGGGATGCAAGTATCCCATGTTATGCACGTGGGACAGATGGAAGAGAGAGTATCGTATTGGCTGCCATAATGTTGCGGTATGTGTGATAAAATATCAGACCGACCAAAGTAAAGTCCACGCCTTGTGATTAATTTTTTTTAAGTAGCTAAACAGTTCAAGTAAAAAAAAATTTAAAATTAAGATGAAATCAGGATCATCAAGTTTGGGCCCCACAACCCAAGCCATGGAAAATAAAATTATTTAAGTGTGAATTAATGAAATCTATCGTCACTTTAAATAGGCTTCGACTCCATTAAGTCAATATACCACCACCAACATTGTTACTTTATCAAGTAAAATTATTTATATAGGTCGACCACATGAACACATTGAGTATAACTCCAATTAGATGATTCACTGCTTCCATCGATTTTTATACGTAAAAAAAATCACCTTAATCAAGCACTAATCTTGAGATATATTTGAATTGGAAATATCAAAATTAAATTTGGGACCATCTGAACTCTGATTTTAGTGAACTTATAGTCAAATTGAATGTCTTAACAAGAAAACTCAATGACATCAAAATCGGTCCAATTCATGCTCAAATGAGCCCAAATCAAGGGCTGAATTATATTTGAAAGCTTTAGATCATTAATTGGACAATCAAATAATCTTCAAATATGACATACGTATAGTCGAATCGAGCAGCTTGAAGAGACATATCCAGTGAGTCTAATATCACTTAATTCTGACATCATTAATGTAGTTAAATAGTTTATGAAAGCTCTATATATAATCAAATTGATCAATATGAATCGTCAGATGAAACATTCTGGATTTGCCCTAAATTTACTTCATATTTATGGAGCACAATATTTCCAAAAACCTATAAATAGACCATCATTCTTCACATACGTGAATGAATAAAGATAAAAGAAATAGAAAGAACTCTCTTGCATTTTCCAACCATTATTACCAACGACCATCACCAACTATTACCACCAACAACCACCATTTCCATTGAGGATCAGCATTATAAGTATCTATAATTTTCAGAGTATTAACAAAATTTAATATTATTGTTGGGTATAAAGTCCATTAGTGGACATCTATTATCTATAATCCCTTTTGGAAAAACCAAGCTCTATTGTTGGGTATTAATTGTCATACTTAATTTATGTACTCTCCCTCTTATCCAATAATGAAGAAAGAATGATTTTTGTAGCATTTACTAACTAGTGGATTTTTCAGCAATGGCAGGCCTCGTGATTTTTGGTCTTTTTGAAATTTTTATGTAAAAAAAAAAATTAAAGTTTTACTATGTTGAATCCTTATACAATGTTAATATGAAAAATATATACTCAACCAACTCAATTTTTTTAGCAGGCAACAAATAGTCAAATATAATAAATAACCCGTTTTAAAAAATGAACAAAGTTGTAATATAATAATATGAATAATAAAGAACAACAAAATGATAAATAAGATTAATTAATATAATAATCTCCACTTTCATATCGAATCAAACATGAACCGAACTTGAACAAAGTAATAATAAACAAACTCAAACATGAACACTCACATACTCGACTCGGCTCGATTCGTTTGCAGCCCTACTATTTTCATTTACTTTAAAAAAAAACTTACGGTACAAACTAACTTTATTAAATATTAAAAAATTTATTTCAAATGAAACTTTAATTTTAAATTTTTCTCAAATTTTAAAATACAAATATTTAAATGCTTAAAAATTAATTCCAACGTACTATCGAATTCTTTTTAAATAATTTTATTTTTTTTCAGATTTCTGAAATAATGCTACGCGACCATTCATTCCGAAAAGCTGCAAACTATCGTTTCACGAAAAATGCCAAAACAGAAGGAAGAGAAAGCCACCCACCGAACGGATAAGAACACCATTAATTTTTTGGTCGCATAAATTCTTCACCAAAAAGAAAAAGTAAAACCAAGGTCAAAGTAATTAAGTCTATCATTAGCGTAATAATATATTAAGCTAAACAACATTAACGTGATTAGCTTACCTAAACTCACAAGCCACTTCTCATTAAAAGCTTAAGCAACCTTAAAAAATAACTCAATCATCCAATTATTATATTAAAAAAAAAAAAACGGTTCAATGAAATTTATAAGTGACGAACTTATAAGAAAATAAAAATATATGTAAAGTTGCAAAAATAATTTATTTTCCACATATTCGCTTTTCACAGTCTTGTTTATTAGTATTAGAAAAATTAACATAATCGGATGAAAATAACGGGTGGCCAAGAGGTTTTTTTATTTTTTTAGAGGTAAATTGCGTGAAAAAATATCAGCTTGAGGCAAAAAATAAAATTCTGTGTGAGGTAGGGGGAGATTATAAATAACCTTTACTATACTAATAGTTTTAATTTGAAATATTTCATTTTAGAATATTAAAATTCCTTAAAATTTTTATTTAGCTTTAATTTGCTTAGTATAAAAAACCAATAAAACTTATATCTAACAAAATAAAATGCAGTACATATCATAATGCTGCCGACGATGAAACAGCCCTTAGGCCTTAGTCACTCTCAACGTGGGCTAAAAGCATTGCATGGCCAAGCTAAGCTAACAAAAAGTAATCGCAATATTTGGCCTATTACTGCAGCTACCGACATCTGCTTATGTATACATATATAAATTTATGTAATTAAAACAATATCGTTAGGAGTTGATTGAGCTTTTTTTCAGTGTAGGCAAAATTATAATTATTAGACTTAAATAATAAAAATAACAAAATAAAATAATAACATCAAATATTAATAATAACAAGAAATATATATATTTTTGATTAACCAATATAATTATGTCAAATTTATATGAGAATTTTTTTATCATTTATCCAATTAAATATTGGGAATGTCAAATATGATTGGGAAGAAGACGATTGCGAGGCGGCGACGTCTTGAACGTCGAATGCGCGAATCATGAATGAGGCTGCAAAGTTCAAACTTGCGGGATGGGCAATGAAGCTTAGGAATTAGGCTGACAATATTAAGGAAAAAGTGTTCTTTTGAGAGGGGGAAAATATCAAAAATGCCCCTGGCCTCTAGTATATTATTTATTTATCTTAGTTGCCCACCCTTGACATCAATTGGGATTCGCCCTTGAATATATGTGAGGTATATAGCTAATCAAGTTAATAGTAGGCTGCTATTCTTTTCCTTGCCTCCTTTTTGAAACTTTTTCTTATTATTTTTTAAAATATTTTTTAGTACAAACATATAAAATTTTGATACTAAAAAAATGCTTTAAAAAACAGTAAAAAAATCATTCCAAACGAAATCTTAGACTCTATTTGGGACGACTTTCTTAGTACAAAAATTAAAATTTTGATGCTAAAAAGATGCTTTTAGAAGCAGAAAGAAATTCGCCCGAGACGAAACCTTAGATAGAGATTTGAGAGTTGTATTTCTTTTCTTATTATGTTTTTGTTAATAGCTTAAGTGTCATATCACGTGTTTCACGTGAACCAATCCTTTTGAACGGCAATTTATGGAAAATATTATACTATTAAATGGCCATGCAAAGTAAAAGCTTCTTGAATTGATGGATTTTATTTATTTAATTCTATAACAATATAAACATGCATGCTAATTAAAAGTCCTTTTTTATTGTTAATTATATTCTAATTAAAATACTTTTTTCTGAGCTTAGCATACGACTTCATCAAATCAGGCAGTCTAATTAAGCCGTACGTACATTGCCATTTTTTTATTCATAAACCATTCCCGATTGATCACAATGAGAACAATTCAATAATTGGTAGCGACAAAGGTGACAAACATAAAGCTCATAGTTACCAATAGAATATAAAACTTTATAAAAATGAAATGAATCTAAGATTCTTTATTAGGTGGCTTTTAATTATTTATATGAAGGTCTGAGTTCTTATACAGGAAAGGAGAGTGGATAAATAAAGCATGTGGTGCTTTAGCTTCAACAGAATCATCACAAAAAGAGACAAAAGGAACCCACATGAGAAAAAGGTGAAGGAAATAAGATGACTAAACGATAAAAAATTCCCTTTTTTATATAGATATTTTAGAGTTAGTGTGAGCTAATGTGTGGATGAGAGAAGCTTGGGAGGCTAATTGCTTGGGGAAAGGATTCTTTAGGAGGGACCCTTTGTGTTAATGATTAATGCTTCATTGAGAAGCCTTTGAGCTGTGGATTGGAGGGATATTCAATAAACTAATGCTTAAGCTATTTAGTATTTATCATTATATCTTCAATTTAGAGGTGTTAATATGAAAAATTCGGATTGTGGTCAGCCCGTTTGAGAAATGAGTCGGGTTCGGGTTCAAGATTTGGACCCGCTTATAAATCTGGGTTGGGCTCGGGTTGACCCAAAAACTAGGGAATGACCCGCGTGACCCAGGATTTCGCATCGAGTTTGCCGTGATCGCGTTGAGTCTGCGTAGTGCCCGCATTCGAGTCGAGTAACGCCGTGACCAAGTGCAGTCTGCACGCGTTCGAATCTGCCCGAGTTGACTGCGCATATTGATCATTTTGAACTAAAATCAAACTTTTTGTTGGAATATTCACATTATGTAGAATATCTCGACTCTCAATAGTTACATACAAGTCTATAAAACATAGAAAATCAGGATGCCCATGACGGGTACGTGTGGGATGAACCAAATCCTCATCAAATTTGATTTTTCCATTAGAGGGAGCTCGTACATATTCGGCAGTACCACCTATGAATACTCCGCCGGTATGAAAAGTTCTTAATGTTAGTTGAGTCCCCGGTTCCCCATATAGAACTTCAGTGGCTAAGTCATTGAATTGATCTTTAAATATCAATTGTTTCTACAAATTTGATGACTTTTTTTATTTGGATGATTGATTAAGTTTTACATTATATATATATCAAACCATAGTAGTAATGGGAAAAAATATTTGTGCTATGAGTTACTTATACAAATTATATTAGAATGATCATAAATTTATTGTATTTATTTTATATTTGTGTTATGTATGGAAAAAAATGAAATTTTAAAATATCAAGAGAAATTTAATGATTTCCAAGTCCTTCTTGACCTAAAAAATATTAGCATATGTTTATAATGTTTTTTTTTTCATTAATAGGACAAATTGTATATCTTTTTATGCATAATTAATTGCTCTGACACCATTCTAGTTGAGTACTTATATCCTTCCCATCCAACATCCCCCACAAGCCACCATTAATTAAATTTTATACATAAGCAATTATTTCTCCAATTCTAACCAATAAATGAGAGAAATTTTCTCCGTCATAAGAAAAAAGGGGCAGACCGCCACTTCATTTATAAATTCCTTAGAAAAATTATTGAATGTGGGGGCATTAATTGGGGTTATGTTTCAAGCAAAATCATATAACAACCACCTCATTTTAGATTAGACATTTCTTTTTAAATGTTTAGAATATATCTAAAATATCACTTGCAATGTTGATTTGAATGGGCCTTTATATATCAAAACTATCTTTAATGGTTTTTTCTTGATCATGATATAATTACATGTCTCATGATTTTATCTTAGATTTTTTTTTTTTGGAATTATGCTTACAAAGTATATTTTATTTCAAATGTTTTAATTGAGAGATGTAATTATAAAAAAAATAATAATTGGAATTTAGAGGTGGTTTTGAGGATAATTCATCTCAATATGTATTGGATTACTTTTTTTTTTCTTTTAACTTTTCTGTTTACACTCACCAACAATTGATGTCCAATGGTTGTCAATCATTGACTTATGATGATTGTCTTCTTGATTGGTCTGTCTTCTCTCATGTCACAAGAATGAACGAGGTCGTAATCTTATAATATTTTTTGTCCCTCATTGGCTATTACTCAATGCTTATACTTGTTGCTCAATATATGCCATTCATTAACATCTAATGATTATCATTTGATTTATTGATACATCTCTTATATGAAGAATAACTAAGCGATATCTCTTCACTTACATCATTATTAATGGCTTTCACATGACAATTACTAACAATTCATGTTCAACATTAGCCAATTAGCAGTGTTTGACACTCACCTCCTTGGTCACTGAATCTTTACTTCCTATATGAAATGTGATAAAGCATACTACCAATTGAAGCCCGACCTATGAGATTCCCCTTTTTTCATTGCCCAATGCTTTCCAACTATCAATGTCAAAAACTAACCAACCGATGTCATCCAACGCTAGTATTTTTACTTGCCTAATCTTCTTTCCTCTCAATAGAATGACCAACCTAATTAGTCATAGGCTTCGTTTGGGATAGCTATTTTACTGCTTCTAAAAACAATTTTCTAGTAATAAAATTAATTTTTTTTGTATTAATGAAGAACGACTCTGATAAAAAAAAAAGTTTTTTTTTTCACCCTTTTGTGGTCCACTCGGACTTGTTGGACGAGTTGGCACTCGGCAGTTGCCAGTTGGAACCATTAGTTTCCCTCCCATATCCACAGAGAAGCATCTTGCTGTCGGTTTTCATGGCTAGGGTTATCGGCTCAACTCTTTTAGGGTTCGGCGTTATCAGAACCCCCTTGTCTCCATGTTCCAGGTTTTCATCTTGCTATTCCCGATCGCTTCATCATTGCCAATGGCGCCGGCTCTACTCGTCGGGCTCCAGGGTGAGCATGAGCGTCAAGGCTGGCATCGTCGGCCTCCCCAACGTCGGAAAATCCACACTTTTCAATGCTGTTGTAAGCCCTTCATCAACCTAAAGCTATAATAGGCATAACCTTGTTCATTCAGTTTAGATTATAGGGTTTAGGCAAGCTGGTGATCAAGTTGTCTTCGGTCGACATAAGAATGTTTAAAAATAAACGTATCAAAAGTTCGAAATTCTATTAGATAAATTGGGGAATAACTATATTAGGGGAATGGTGGTAGTATTGTTTGTTGAAGATAATGCAGTAGAAAATAAAATTAGGTCAGCCTGCTTGAAGAAAACATGTATTTTAAAAATGATAATTTATTAGTGCTTGAAGAAAATATGTTTTTAAAAATGTTAAATCTACTTGATTCACTCATTTAGTTCTATGAAGTTAAAATAATTATTGATTTAACCTTCAAAATCTCTCCAGGGTTATGATTTTATTAAAAATATTTTTTTAAAAAAGAGAATTTCTGTCTACAATCTACTAAGGAAGCGTTTAGGTGGTTTAGTATAACGAAGGATAGAAAATTCACCAAATATACTAAATTAAAATTAGCATCTAAAGACTAAAAAGTAAAATGGGTTTGTCTTTGATTACATATAAAATTTATTAAAAAAATTGAGCTGAATATGTTAACATCTATGACAACACTTAACAAAACTAGTAAAAACCACAGATTCATAAAGCAAGCCCTAAATTGATGGGGTAAGGTCAGTGATGATGATGATCTTTTTTCTGTTTTAGAAGATAGATAAATTGTTTTCTTTATGCATAAAAATATGTATTATTGTATCCAATGGTTGCTATCTTCGAAGTTTTGGATTTTTTAAGAGATTAGTCAGTTGAAAGTTCCTTTCTTTGATTTAGGTTGAGAATGGGAAAGCTCAGGCTGCAAATTTTCCTTTCTGCACCATTGAGCCCAATGTTGGAATTGTTGCTGTACCAGATCCACGGTTGAGCATTCTATCTCAGCTGAGCAAGTCCCACCGAGTTGTACCGGCCTCTATAGAATTTGTTGATATTGCTGGTCTAGTAAAAGGAGCCAGTCAAGGAGAGGTATGCAGTATGAATATTATCTAATTTATGTCTCATAGAGCATTGCTTTTCTTTTGGAAAGTGATATTTCTATCGTTTGAACTGCAAGTTTATGAATCATGAGATTCTCATGATTCTCTTCATAAATGTGTATATGGTGTGGCAGCCTTTAATGACTCGAACATTCCAAATGAAACTTTTTTTCATAAACGATCATTATGATATTGCTTGTTGTAAGCTTCATGTGGTGTTTTTTTTTTAATGAATTTGTACATTTATACTTACCTAAAATGATCGGAAATCCACTAAAATGAGTTTTTTGTCTTGACTTCTCATTGGAATGGGACCACAATGCAAGGATTCTAGGTCAAATTTTGATATTCTTAATCAAGAACGATTTACAAGCAAAGAAAGATTGTAATAAGATTGGTCGAAAAGGATTAATGTGTGGTTTAAATCAACTTAGAACCTAGCAAACAGAAGTTGCTTGTAAAATTTAAAGAGTAAAGTTACCAATAATGGCAGCCTTGGAGACCTTATCCTTGGATTGTTGCTATTTTTTATTGATTTACACTTATTTTAACCTTACACATTGAATGCATTCACTGTTTGACACTACAACAAATAACAAACATCAACTATGAGTCTTGTTTCCTATTATGGATGTATCCAATTGCCATTTACTAGCACACAGTGATTTCCTACCCTAGCTAAACTTTGAAGCAGAGAGGGATAGGGTGGTCATTGGTGCTGCTTTCTCCTGAAACCACAATCTGATGGGTATTGAGGAAGGAGAGACTCGACTAGAGAGATGCGCTGCTAGATGAGTTGGATGGAACTAATTCACTTCATTAATGGAGGAAATAGTATATATTAAAGGCTATTTATAGCCAAAAATGATAAGCAAATTGGAAACTAAATATTAGATTAAATAAGGAAAATAACTTCTTTTTTTCATGCTAGATGAACTATTTAATAAAATAAGTTATTATTTAAATGCTTATCATAATTTATTTGGTAATTAAAATCTAAATACCTTAGGATATTCTTACGAATTACCCCCTTCATATTATAGATGACAAGGGAGAGAGATGGGGAGAGATGGGGTGACTCTTATGCAATGTAATATGGATTGTTATATTGATCACCTTAACGTCTTTCTCCTTTTATGGAATTCCAATCCTTTCTAGGAGTTTTAGATTGAATTATGGGTTTTTGTTTTCTCTCCTTTTATGTTGTAAAGTTTTTCATATTCTAGATTGCTCAGGGAGAGAGATATTGATGTGAAACCAAGTAGGAATTGCACGTGAAAATTTATAAAGATTGAATTAGACGTTGTAACATCAACCAATGTTTCACTTAGAAAATATTCTACAAATTAAAAGTTGTCTAAATTGATATGGAAAATAATTACACAATAGAAGAGCAAGATCTCAAATAATATCAATTATAAAATGGAAACGCAAATGCAATAAACTAACAATCCACCACGTAACAAAGAGAAAAGTAACCTCGAGTTTCCCTCACTCATGCTCTTTATGGTTTTTTAGCGGAAGAAGAATCACCACAATCTGGAAGATGCCACCATAAGGGAAAGGATGCATAGGGTAGAGATCCAAGGAAAGCTAGCCGGAGGAGGAGTTTTGTGAAGATGACCGGTGATTCACCAATGTCCGATTGGAAGATGCTCTTCGATGGAAGGTGCCAACGTGAAGAGGATGCGATCCATGTAATCGTCTACGGTATCGTCAACGCTCAAGTTTAAGTCGAAGAAAGGGGATCATAGAAGATCCGTTCGTCCTTGATCATCATACACGAATCTGTGATCGTGCTCTGGATCGGCCATGCATGGGGGCGACGTCGGCTTGAAGATAATCCTTGTATGTGATGGAGGAGGAAAGTGGGGGAGAATTGGAGAGGAGGAGAATTTCGGCTAGGTTTACGGTGGGTTGGGTTGGGATGGAAGGTGGTGAACTAGAAGGGCTTAGGTTGAAGGAAATCTGAAATTAATTCTCAGGAGGGAAAGATTAATTTGAAATTCAAATTAATCCTAATTGAGGGCTTAAGTGGGGCGGCAGCCAAGGGGAATTTAAGGGGCATTTAATGAGAGTCTAGGTGGCATATTGGAGAGAGAATGGGGCTATAGAGGGGCCGGCCATAGGGTAAGGGAGTTGATGTGTCTAGGTTCGATGTATGGGCCCGGGGAGGATTTAATTAGGGATTGTCATTAAATCTGAAATTGATTTCAGATTTAATGTAATTAGAAGGTTTCCTAATTTAAGTTTATTAATATGGAAAGCTTTGAAATTCAAATCTAATGTGAATTAAAGTGAGGCAACTTTCCAAATTAATAGTGGGGTAAATTAGGAATGTAATTAAGGTTGATTTGAATATTGAAATTCAAAATTCAAAGGTCATGAGAGGGAGGGCCGGCAACTAGTGGAGGCTAGCAGTGAGGGAGCCTTGGGGAAGACCGGCGGCGGACGGGTGAGGGGAGACCGGTGACTTAGGGAGGTGGTGAGGGTTGGCGGGTTAGGAAAAAAAAAAGAGAAAGGGTTTGGAAGATTCGGCCGGCGACAAGGGTCTTGGGCTAGGTGGCCGGTGGTGGTAACCAAGGAAGGAGGAAGAAGGCAATACTAAGTATTAACCGCGAGTCTCGAAATCCACCGATAGCTGACGAGTGATGCAAAACCCTCTCCTAGGATTTCTCCTCTCAAGAACTCACAAAGAGATCAAACAAGAAAAGCTGGAATTTCATTCATAATCATCATCATCTCAAATACAAGACCAAGGACCTAATATGTAGGCCTCATAGAAAAAGAAAAGAAAGGACTAACATGCCCATAGGGCTACAACTCAAATCAACACACGAGCAAGGGTACAGACACAAATAAAATAAATCTGAACTAATACATAAAATATATCAAATATATAAACTCCTCATCGTAGCTGTTGATCTACGATGCTTCCGACGGTAGGCATTTCGGAATCTCCTACTGACGTCCTCATCAGATATAGTGTGACTTCTATGGAGTGAAACGTGGATTGTTACCTTGATTACCCTAATTTCCTTCTTTGATGGACATCAACTCTTTTTCGTAGTTTTGGATTGAATTTTGGGTATTATCTCAAATTTTTAGTGTAAAGTTGAAATATTCCTTGAACTACTTGAATATTTTCTTGTTTTGCCGCCCCTTCTATCTTGGGATTTTGGATTGAAAATTTTGCAATTAGGTCCTCTTTTTTTTTTTTTCGCTCATTCTCCCTTCATTCCTAGACCTTTCTCAGTGGAGAATTGTGCTTGGTGATGGAACCTTCTCAGAACTTTTTGGATCATTTTGGAAGCTTCTAGAAAATGCTATAAGCTTATTTTGACATCTTAATTTATGAAAATTTCATGGACTAGTGAAATTTTGAATATTCCAGTATTATGAACATCCTAGATTAGGTCTCCTTGTGGCCTTTTTTTTACTCTCGCTAATGTTTAGAGTCATGCCTTGGGCGTACCACCCGAGTTATTTTGCTTTGTAGGAATGTTTCGTTTTAGCCTGTCAAGGCTACTAAGGCAGTGACTTATTTTTCTTCCATGCTAGTGTAGTTTTCTCCACTTGGTGTAGCTTCTGCTTCTTTGTTTATATCTGGTAGGCAAATCTTTCTTCCTTCTGGATGACTTTGACTAGGTATGCAAAAAACATATTAGTCTTATGATTCTTACTACTCTAACATAGGAAGGGCGGTTGGTTAAATTTTTTTTTTCTCAGTCGAGAACTAGTATAGAACCAAAACAAATCTTAATTAAGCCCTTTTCTTATAAATATTTCATAGACGATGGGGGAGGAGTAATTTTAAGCATAAAATCTCTTTAATCTTTTACAATCTTTTTATTTTTTTTTGCAATCTTTTATATTAGATTGTATACTAGCATATTTGTTTTTGTACACTCTTTCTGTAATGTCATTGGTCCTTTGAATTGCTAATTCATTCTTTCCAACCAATTTATTTTAATTTTGCCATTTATTTATAGTACGTACTTATCTGTTACATGTTTTTAATTCCTACATGTTTGGGTTCTGATTACCATTCTATCACTTTCTCTGTAGTTCTACTTGTATATCTGGGTATTAATGCCGGCATCATTGTTTAACAGGGATTAGGTAATAAATTTCTTTCCCACATTCGTGAAGTGGATTCCATACTGCAGGTTCATTTTTAATTTACGTGTTTGCTTTTTCTGATATTTCCTATTTCATGCCAAAAGATAAATTATTGCTATCCTTTTTGTAAATGTTTCCATATAAGTTTTCTTATTTACTACATACCTAGAATAGAACTGGCTGAGACAGCATGGAAACTTGAGTGTTGATTTGCATTACTGTAAAAGGGCTTGTCAACGATTGAAGATGATCTTGAACGGCTAAGTGGAGTGAACCAACCACAATTGCAAATGGCGTTGTGTTGAATTTTTCTATGGCAACAGTTGTAAACATGTTAAGTTTATCTTCTCTCCAGGTTTTGGCGATGCCCAGGTAGAAGTTGGCAAACCTCAAGTGCTACGACTGCTATTTGGTTTCATAGCATGTTTTAGCCATCCCCTGTTGAAGCAGAAGACTGCTTTTCATATAGCTTCTTTGTTTTGCAAAGCAGCTTCAGGGGTTGGGTAAAGTATGGTCCGGCAACTTTGGACCACATAAGCTTTTTACCCTGAAAAGGAGCAGCGAGGGGGGAAGCTGGGACTGCAGTTCAACCACAGTTCACTGCCTCTTGCAACTTTGGTTTTCTTTTTGGTAGAACCCTGACTTACGACAAAAAAATGCTTTATCTTCTACCCAAAGACTATAATGCATTTTCTAACTTCCCAAATTCAGCAGTCTATTTCATTAACTTTGCCACCTCCAAAACGTATTAGACCATGAATAAACACCGATATTGATGCCAAAGCCACTCACATTGGCCTTGAATATGTCTTAGCCTTCTTCAGACTAGAGCCTCTTGAATATGTCTTGAAGCTTCTAGATTTTTCGAAACCTTTCTTCTTTTGATGAAAGTCTCTATGCTTCTGCATGGCCTGATGGTCAATCTCTATCCTCATTGCCCCTTCAACCAGAACGGAGTAATCATCAAGACCCAATAGAATCAACGGCTGATGAATAATATCTCGAAGCCCTGATAAAAATCTGTGGCACTTCTCTTCAGCACTAGGGATGAGCTGAGCTGGATAATATGATAACATGGTGAACTCAGCTTCATACTTCATAACTGTGCGGTCTCCCTAGACTATTCAGACGAATTGATCCTGCATCTGCCTCCTCATAGAAAGGGCACAAACCAATGTCTAAAAACCCTGACAAACTCCTCCATAAGACCTGAGATGCTGCCTTGCCGCGAATATTCTCCAAAAGCTATCATCTCCACCACCCTTCAGCCTCTTTATCCAAGGCAAAGGTAGTTAGAGTTACCCTTTAATTAGTTGAATAGTGCTTACCATCCATAATCTTCTCGATCCTCATGAGCCAGTTTTCAACGTCAGCTGGCTCTCCTGCTCCTGTAAAAAGAGGTGGTTGTATATCCTAAAAGAGCTTTAAATGCTTGTTTACAGATTCGCCCTTGGAGCTAGAATGTGACTGATCCTAGGAGTGCTGAATCAACTGCGTCACAACCACCATCATTTGGGTAAATGTGTCTATAGTAGCACTTATGCCACCACTCGGAGGTTGTGCCACTGGTAAGATAACTGGAACCTCCCTCCTTTTTTGCTAAGTGTTGCCATCAGTGGCATCACTATCAGGATCCATGGCCCTAAGGCGATTAAAAAAAAACCACAGTTCAATAGTTTCTCGAAACATGCATCCTATATATTCTATGACTTATAATATCATCCCAATGGCTTTTTATATTGATTGACATCTTAAATTTCGCTCTAATACCACTCTTGTCACGACCCGGCCCAATAAGCTCATGTAAACGAGATAAGAATGGATGTCAGTTGGAAGATTTGAAACATTTCAATGTAACATAAAAGAGTAATCATCCAAATCAATGTAAGAGAGCCACTAAAAATTTCAAACAACATTTTTCTTTCATTTATAAACACGTACATAAAAGTCTTTTACAAAATAGGAACAATATCACATGTCATCCTATGCGTCCATCTATTATATAAAGCATCAAAATAACAAATAGAATCTGTCACCCGGCGTCTCCCTACAACAATAGGTGAATGACAGTCTGTCAGTCATTACTGATTAATAGGTGTTTCTGAAAACATCTCAAAACTAAGGAGTGAGCTATCGCTCAATAGGTATCAAGTAACTATATCAATTTCAATTACATTGTAAAGAAGATCAATATGCATACTTTAATATGAAACTGAGCAACATGTAACTAAAGAATTATACAACATAGTGTCATGCAAAGGTAGTCATACACCTATATTTATATGACTTCCTACTTCTTTTTATTTCATGCTTTTCAACTTGTCTTTATTTTCTGTATACATATATATTTATCTTATTTGTATTTAATACACCCATACTGGAGTACCGAAATTGTACTAATCAGGTACATATACATATTGACCATATCATTTTCCTTTATCATATTGCCCCGAAGAGTCATATTGCTTCGAAAAGTCATATTCTACCAAGGCATCATATTGGTACTCCGCCTTAACATGCACAATTTCACATGCAATAACTATCATAAGATAGATAACTAACATACATATCAATTATATGCTTCTAACTATCAAATTTTTATGCAAGTCTACATGAAAATTCTTTTTGAATTAAAGTGTGCCTAAACAAGCCAATAATTATTCTAAACATGTCGGTATACGATTTTCATTCAGAATAAAAAAGATTAACATACTATTTTAATGCTAAAACATATCACAGTGCATTTAAGCATAAAAGAACATTAAACTTGGAATAGTTAAATGTATCTACCTCAAAATAAGCAAACAAATCTCAGAATACGTGTAAATTGTCGTCTAATCTCGCGACGATCTCTCCTTATCACTTACATTTCCAAGACCTAAGGGAGAAAACTGCCATTAATTTAAAAAATTTATATTCAATAGTGCACTTCCTTCTTTGGATTACATCTTCCTAGGTTTCTAATTTATTTAAAATTTTTGGATTTTCCTAAAAACTCCAAAATTGGAAACCTAAATTCACTATTTTCTTCCCATGAATATGTAAAAACATCCCTTAATCTAATTAGATTTTAATTTAATTAAAATTTTGGATTTCGTTAATTCAAAATTAGGAAACATAGAGTTTTCATACAAAATTTTGATTTTTAACTCGTCAGAACACTCCTAAGGTCATTGGAAATAAAATTTGTGAAAGCACTTTCATAGAAATTGAAATTTGGAACTAATTTTAAAACTTGAAAATTTTCATGAAAGTTTAGTTTAAACCCATAATAATATTTCTAATATCGATAGAAACCATTTTTGTGAAAGAAATTTTCAAGAAATTAATTGAGGAAAAAGCCCTAATTTGGAACTCTCACAAACTCTTGAGAAAATAAGAATTAGGGTTTAGAAAATCATTAAAGCTTTTCCAAACATTCCCTATCAATATTATTGAAAAATCCTTAGTTTTGGAGGAACCCTAGATTTTGGAAGGAAAAACTCATTAAATCATGTATGGTTTTTTTCTAAACATTATATTTTTCCTTGCCATTTTTTGAGAAAAAAACATATTAGTATTTATACTTTATGTCCCACTGCATCAATAAAACAGCATTAATTAAGCAAAAGCTTAAATAGCGGTGCAGTTGTTGCTTTGGTTATTGACAAATTTTTAAGTCGGTTAAAATTCTAGGAATTTTTTATGTTTTGTTTTTCCATTCTAAATCTTAGTCCTTATACTTGTTAACTGTCTACAGGTTGTGCGTTGCTTTGAGGATAATGACATTGTTCACGTCAATGGAAAAATTGACCCAAAGTCGGATATAGATGTCATAAACCTAGAGCTGATTTTCTCAGATCTTGATCAGGTATGAAGAACAAAATGCTTTGATGTATGTTTCGTAAATGGATTGTTAGACTTTTTTTTCTTAATTTCATTTCTTTATTTGATTATTTTCTTGCAATGAAGTGCACTTACAATACTAAATTGTTTATTCATAAGAATTTCAGATAGATAAAAGATTGGAAAAAGTCAGGAAAGGCAAGGCAAAGGATGCACAGTCTAAACTGAAGGTAATCTTTATGAAGCAGAGTTTGTGCGAGAGACAAACTCAAAATCAAAGACTTCGATTTAAGGTTGAACCAAATTTGAGTCGAGTCGAAAGTGATCAATTTCAAGCTGATACATGCCAAGTCTATTAATTTTACTAAGCTGGTTTTTAATTATATATATATATCTTTCCATATACTAAGAATTTTTTATTTGTCACTGGTTTTCAATCTCCTAGGAAGAAACGGAGAGATCAGCTTTGGAAAAAATTCAAAAGCTTCTCATGGATGGAAAACCTGCAAGATCCGTTCCTTTAACAGACTTCGAAAAAGATTCTATACGCCATCTCTGTTTGCTCACTATGAAGCCTATCATATATGTTGCTAATGTGGCTGAAACAGATCTCTCTGAACCAAGCAGCAATCCACACGTTAGAGAAGTACTGAGACTTGCATCTGAGTTGCAATCTGGCCTCGTATCAATTTCAGCACAGGTATTATTCCCGAGCAAAGTCAAAGTAATGATTTTTTATATTTATCAAATTCCATATGACTGCTGCTGCATAAAGTTTATGAGGTATGAGACTAATGTATTCTCCAATTTTTTTTTTATTAACGGTCTTTTTTGGATAAGTTTCTCAATGCTTTGCTTTTTAGACTGTAACTATAATTTCAATGCTTTGCTTTTTAGACTGCAACTATAATTTTGTTGACTATTACTTTTTAGTCGCTTTCTAGAATTTTTTTTTTGTGTAACCAAAGTTGTTGATATATGATAGCTTCAAGAATGCAACCATTCAATTTTTTTAAAGAAACTTTATAATATCCGCAGCAGTTTTTTAAAAAATTGCTTTACCCACAATGGCTTTACAACCACCTTTACAAAACACAACAGCCAACCCAAACAAACCTATGTCCAGTTAATGACATTTTGCATCTATTGTGCACTTCTATTTTTATTGATTTAATCCTTGTAATCTGGTTTCTTTATCTTGGCCTTCTTTTCTTTCATGTCCGTTTTATATGCTTAAAACTTTCAGATACATATATGCAGGAAAATTACACAATTTCCTTAAATCAAATCATGCTCATCGGTTGCTCTTATGCTACCATATGCAAATAAACATTTTAAAATATAGACATGCATACATTGCATGTGGTAGCTACAGGCACTCAAGCCATATTTTTTTATTGAAACGTTATTATTTCTTACTAAGCATGCCAGATATGCAAATTTTATTTGGTCTTGCTTAGGTAAATGCTATCTTCTGCTAAACAATCTTGGGGAAATACGCTCCTTATTACTGCAAGCTGTGATATGTGTTATACTCTTTATAGACCCATAATTCTGCGCTTGATGCCACCTCTGTTATTAAACTTCTTTCTTTGGTTTCATTGGTAACCAGTTTACAGATCTGGCTAATATTCTTAATTTTATATAAATTTTTTGAAATGACTAATATTGCCCATACCACTTCAGGTTGAATCTGAGCTCACTGAACTTCCACTAGAAGAGAGAATAGAGTATCTGAAGTCCCTTGGTGTGAGTGAAAGTGGACTAGGAAATCTTATAAGAGAGACGTATGACCTATTGGGACTCCGAACTTACTTCACATCAGGAGAAAAGGTGACAACATTTTATTTTTTCTTTCTTGATTTGTTTTCTAGTACTTGGTCTTGATGTTGCCTTCCGCTTCTTTTCCAGGAAACAAAAGCTTGGACAATACTTGCCGGTTAGTTTTGATGAATGCTTCTCGTGTGCATATTAGTTTTGGCCGCTCAATTATGCTTGGATATCTTGATCGAAATAGTAGCCTCTTACCAAACAGGTATGACAGCACCTCAAGCTGCTGGAGTAATACATTCAGATTTTGAGAAAGGATTCATTCGTGCAGAGACAGTAAGTTTTTTAATCTTATTATTATTATTATTATTATTATTATTATTATTATTATTATTATTATTATTATTATTATTATTATTATTATTAGATTATGAAAGTTTATGTATTAAAGAGCGTGAGATGTTTTAGGGAGAGGTTATGTTTTGTTTTGTTCTCCATTAGGGTTTTTTGGCGACTTGGGTTCTAGACTCTTTTGTCTAGAGATTTGGGAGAGACGATCCTACTCTCGAATTGAGGATCACTTGTATCTTGTTTCCGTGTTTGTTTGACTTTGATTTTCATATTGCAATCTATCGTTTGTGCTGATTTCTCTCAGATTTTGTGCTATTCTTGCTGTTTTTCACTAATCAGTGATAGGTTTGCTTGCGAACTCAAGTATTACCCTTAGGGTTACTTGCGAACTCAAGTATTTCCGATCAAAATCCCCCTTCATAGTTTAGAAACCTACTGTGATGCTCAGAATACTCTGAAAGTGTTCTTTTAATCAATTGTTTCATTTTTTTAGCTCTTTTTTTTTCTCTTATTTATGGTTCTTGAGAGGTTTAATTCGTAAGCCTGAAAATCTGTGTGCATTTGTGATCAGGTATCCTATGATGATTTTGTTGCAGCTGGTTCGTTGGCTGCTGCGAGGGAGAAAGGCCTTGTAAGTTTGATGTCCACAACCCCTCATTAACCAAGCTATAGATCTTAATGCTTTGTTTAGATTAAAGAAAGTAAATGAAATGAAATCATCAGAAATCCCATATAATCTCTTGTTTGATTATTAATCCACAACCATTAATTTGAGCTATTCCACTTTTTTTTATTATTCTTTTTATATCCTTCCACTCAATTCCCAGCATCAAAATACGAGAAATTATTCTGTGAGGACGCCAAACGCAGCTCTACATCTGAAAACTATCTAGAATGTGCCACGTTAGTAATACTGAGCGCGGTACCGAGCCACGATATCGAGCGGTATCGAGCCACGGTTCCGAGTAGTACCGAGCTGCAGTACCGATGTGGCTCATTCTGACTCGTCTCCAGACGGCGTTTGGCGTCTGCACAATTTTGAGCACAAGGGACATTTAAAGTTAATATAAACACTAATGGTAATTAGTATTTCTGCTTTTTATAATCAATGCAGTTGAGATCAGAAGGCAAGGAATACGTTGTACAAGAAGGAGATGTCATGCTTTTTCGATTTAATGTCTGATTTATACCAACAAAAAAGCAACGCCACTGAGACAAGGATCGGCTCTTTTGTATCTTTCATTCATGAGCTGTCACCACCAATTGCCTCAACCAAACAACAAGAATAATTTAGCCCTACAACATTTTGTTGGTCATCCTTCCAGGTTGTTTTCAGTCTTAATCTCCTCCTCTCCTTCAAGCTTAAGATACTTACAGTGAAAATAATCACGGTTTTAAACCAATTTTGTTGTGATAAAGTATTTTTGAATGCTTCGTTGTTCTTCAACCACATTTTTTAATCTATCTACCCCTTCTCCCTTATTTTAAAGGGAAGAGGGAAAAAACTCTGATTGCTTCAAAGCCAATCAAGCCCTCATCAGAGGGGTAATTCTTCGGTGGTTAGCTTTGACATGGACTTGCCAATGAACAAGACAAAATCTTTCATTTCCTTGTCATAAATATGAAAGATTCCTCTTATCTCACCAGTATTTGTTTAAATATTCATTTTACTTTTTGTTTCAGTAGGCTATTTCTCCTATTGCATTTCAAATATCGAAGTTCAAAATAACTGAAGATGTGCTTCTTGTATTAGGGCAAAGCTTCTTATATAGGCCTGCCATGCTATCTATAAACCCATATAAGATTAGGTTAATGGTGTTTAGAGTTGCAAACAAACCGAGCCGAATTGAGTATGTGCTTGTTCATGTTTGAATTCATTTATTATCAACTTGTTCAAGTGCTGTTCTAGTTTGATTCGAGCTTTTTTGTTTGTGCTCAAGCTTGGTTCGTTTAAATTAATGGGTGTTCCTGTTTGGTTCATGTTCTATTCATTTCTTGCTTATCGAGCTTTAAACAAACTAGCCTTATCAAGTTATAAACAAGCTCTACTTTTAGATGCACATTAACTTAACAAACGAGCCTTATCAAGGTTTCTAACAAGTAACAAACAATTACATCAAACATATTCATGAACATATTTAACGAAGTTCAAATAAGCTCGTTCACGAACATACCTAATGAGTTTTTTTGAGCTATCAAATGAGGTCATTCATGAACATATATAATTAGTGTTTTTGAGTTATCAAATGAGCTCATTTACGAACAAACGATTTATGATTCATCATATATTTGTTTAGAGAGCGGGTTGTTCCTGATTTTAGGCGGATGTGAGAAGTAAAAATAAATTTATTAGATGATTTTAGATGAGATTAGTAAAAATAAGTTATTAAATTATATATATATATATATATATATACGAGCCATGAGTAATTTGTCAAATGCTTGGTTCATTTGCAACCCTAATGGTGCTTCTGAGATCAACTCAACAACACAAACGGGCCAGCATACATCACATATGCAAGCTTCAAACTCAAGACTTCTTGATTAATAGTCTAAACTCTCAACTAATAAATCAAGATGAACTGCATGCTCGCACTCTTTGGAATGAGCAGGTAAATCCAAAGGCTAAGGAAAAGCATAAAGTACTATTATGAACAATTTATTTCGACTTAAGCATTTGAAAATGATAGCAGCTAGCAATTATTTATTTTATATGTACACTTCTTAGAAACTCATTTTTTCATGTTAGTTGGAGTGCTCTGAGTTTTATTTTTAGGTAACATCCCACGAATTTATTATTATTAAAAATAGTATTCTAATCTAACCTCCATTTACTATTATATGACTATATTATTATTGTATGAAAAGAAATAAGACTTCCAAACCACTTCCAAAATCTATTAAATGCAAAGTATTTGTTTTAATTTTATTTAACTCAAATGATATGTTCTTTTTATTTAAAATAATAATTATGTTTATTTTTTTATAAATGTGATTGTATTGTTATGGAGAAATTAGTTTTTTGTTTAAAGTTGCAGTAGGAAGTAACTTATGAGTACAACTTTTTTTTGAAAATAGTAAAAAAGCTGTGACCAAATAAAAAGTTATGGCTGCGATCTAAAAAATAAAACAGTAAGAAAGCTGTCCTAAACGAAAGTCTTAATTTATTTAAGTTTTTAAATAGTTCGACATATACTTCAGGAAGATATTGTTTGGAATAGATTTTCAACCGTTGTTTTTTTTGTAAGAAAAATAATTAATAAAAAGGTAATGTGTTTCAAAGATAGTTTTTTTATCCCAAAGAGTTAGTTTGTGATGGTTTTAGTTTTTTATAAAAAAGGTTATAATGGTGTTTTAGAGAAAGTAATTTTTTTAAAGTTGTTATAAAAAACATTTTTCTTATGTAAATTTTTTAAAAAGAAGCGAAAAAAAAGGCTGTCTAATAAAAAATATGATTGCATCTAAAAACCGAGAAATTATTTCATGCGGAGTTTGGACGAGAACTTCCCGTCCGGATTGTGAGTGTATATACTGTGTACAAACAGTGTATACATAGTCTCAAACTGTGTATAAAAAATATGCTTTTTGTACATAATATGTACACTCATAGTCCGGATAAAAAGTTCCCGCATGGATTCCGCACGGAATAATCTCTCCTAAAAAGCAAAGCAATAAGTCAAATAAAATCTTAGGTTTTGTTTGAAATAGTTTTCTTACTCTCTCCTACAACATCTTCTTAGCACAAAAACTTCTTATCTTAGAAAGACTTATTTCAAAACAATATTTTTAGGACTGTGAATGAGAAGGGAATTTAAAAAATGAGTTAAATTGTCTCAAATAAATTCTTAACCGAAATGTTATTAAAATGATATATCTATGTTATTTTCATAACTCTTATATGAACATTATATCAGCTTAAATAATTAATACTTTATCTCCCAAAACAGCTGTCATTAAATAAAAATCATTTTTCTGTTGAAGTTACATAGTGATAGAGTTCTTCTGCAGCCTCCAGTTTTCCTCTACATTTAAAGCAGAACCAAAACGTTAATAACGATGTGCTACCTTCCGTTACTAATAGCTTTAAAGCCACCCCTGCCGCCATTAATCCTCTGAAACTCTCTCTCTCTCTCTCTCTCTCTCTCTCTGAGTACATCTATATATATCTCTCTCATGATTGGCAAAACACAATGAAGAAGATCAAAGTTCTGCTGAGGAAGTGCAAGAGCCTCTCAGCAACATTGGGGAGGTCTTCCTCCTACACTAGTTTGAGATCCAAATCCACCAAATCACAGGACTTTTGGTGCGAAACTGAGGAGGTTGGTGGCGGCGCCGGTGAGACTATCGTGTTCGTCGGAAGCTCTCGGCGGCGTTACATAATTCGAGCGAAGTATTTGAGCCACCCAGTCATTAAAGCGCTCATAGATCGTTCGAGTCAAAGCTCAAAAGACGCCATCTTTGTGAATTGTGAGGTGGTTCTTTTCGATCATCTTTTATGGATGCTCGAGAATGGGGATCATGAGGCGGTCGGCGGAACTTCGCCGGAGGAGCTGGCCGCCCTCTATGCATGTTGAGAATGCTCATGGAGTTAATTAACTTTATAATTAGTTGATTAAGCGTTTGCTTTGAGTTTGTTGAGTTTTATTTTCTAATATGTTCTACTAATTGATATCAATTTGTTTTAATTAATTTGGAGGATTAGGGGATATAATTGGTATTAATTAGACTAATGATGATGGATTATGGAAGTATTTAAGAAGTCTAATTGTGCTTTGAAGGTGATTTGGTTAATTTTTAGTGGATTATATATTGATAATCTTTGCTTAGAGGATTGAAGATGCGTGCCTGTTAAGTAGGTTTACTATTTTCTTAAAAAAAGTACACCATGATTAGATACTAAAGTGATAGTAGCTTTGTTATGTCCCACATGATTAGTAGAATACTTCAGCATTTATTTTAAAGCAATTAGGATTATTATTATTTTTATTATTGAGTGCTAAATTATTTATTTTATGTAGGTGAAATTAAAATTCAAGATAATGAAAAGAATTTTTAATACTTTTGCCATATGAACAGATTAATAACAATTAAAAAATATTCTCATAAATAAGGGATGAATTATGTCAATATTTTATTTCGACAAAATGTTTTGATTCAAATAGCGGATCCCACTATATTTAGGGTGGGCAAATGTCAACCTAAAAAAAAATTAATGTAGAGGAAGGGTAATTTTGGAATTTTGCCGCCCTCAAAAATAAAATTTTGACATAATATGACCAATCTCGCATTGTTTGCCTATCAATTTATAAGCCGATTGATAGAGAAAAAATAGTAATTTTATGTAGATTCATTTCCAAATAATATAAATTATATAATGAATGCATATGATGCAATTATATATGCAAATTTTTAGTTATTTTTAAATTCATAAAGTATAATGAAATTTAAGATTTTGCTTAGAATTTTAGCTTTTATATATATATAAATTTAACTATTTTTATATAATAAGTGCCCACCCTAAAAAAAAAAGTTTGGATTCGCCGCTGTTATTCAATGTTTTTATATTTCAATTATTCTCGGTGTTTGGCATGAAACAAAAGAATGCAAAGTAAAATTAAAAAATAATAATTAAAATACCTCAAAAGTTATATATTTTCTTACATGAGGTTTCATTTGAGACAGCTTTCTTGGTGCTTTATTAAACATCTTTTGAGTATAAAAATTTCTTGAATTAAAATTTTTTGTACTAAAAAATTATTTTATAAAGCAGCAAAAAAACCATCCCGCACTACTCTATCTCCATCCATCCGCCCTTGCTTACTTTTGTGCATGATCAAAATTGATCGCTAAAGATAATTTGATGGGAGAATTAAGGTCCTAAATGGTTCTCTTATGAGAAGAGAGACTTGATGGCAAAGCTTATCTACAAAGATGGTTTTCAACTAGTTATCTATTAGATCTACAGATCCTACAAACTTAGGGACCCTATCCTACCAAGTTAGTTGGAGAAAGTCCTCTCAAACAGTACAAAACTATAGCATTTTAATGGAAAGTTTGTGCTAACCCCTCAACCCTGCAACAAAGTACATGCTCCCAAAGACAATATTTATGAGTTCATAGTGCTATCAATTTCCTATTCATTTTGTTTAGTTTTAGAAAAAAAAAGAGTAATATGATTTATGAAAAATATATTATTATCTGATTTTAATGATTTCTCCCAACTAACTGATAATGATAATCAAAATTTGTTTAAAACTATGATAGGCCAAGTTAGAAGCTTGGGTCAATCATTTGAAAGAATTAATTTTTATCTCAATCGAATATATCCAACTTGAATATATTCAATTGTATGTGATGTGTGTATGAATTTGACTTAATTGACCTAAATATTTTTTTTTAAAAAAAAATTATGATTTCGAAAAAGAATATTATTTTTAAAGTATAAATCTAACTTTTGTACCAATTAAATGACTGCAAAAAATAGTTTTTGAAGAAGAGAATATCAATAAGATTATTTATCAATAGCCAAAAGCCAATTTTACCACTTGCACTGTGCTTAGGGCATCTCTAACTGAAGTTCTCATTTTTTACTTCAAAATGCAGTAATAGTCATAGAAAATAGTAATTCATATCCAACCAAACTCTAATTCATCCATGTAGATTTTTTCTTATCTTCATTTATGCATAAAAAAGGATTTATTTTATGAAGGAGCATGCTAATCACTAGAATTAACAAAAGGATCGTGTTCATTAAAAAAATTTAAAAATGTGTCAATTCGTCAAAATATTTGATGCATTCAGAAGAATGAAGATAAACTTTGTTGTTTGTATAACATAAATTTTATTGTTTAAAAAATAATTAAAATAATATTGATTGATATTTAAAATATTAAAATAATATATAAAATATTCAAACAATTTTATTTAATCGTTCTCCCCCTCTTTCTCTACTCCCCCCTCTCTTTCTCCCCCCCTTTCTCTCTCTTTCTACTTTGTGGCCTCTCTCTCTCTCTCTCACTCAAGCTGAACGCTATAAAATTGTTTTGCACATTCAGAATGTATTAAATCATTTTGCTCATTATGAATGCACCAAATATTTTGACGTACTGACTCCTTTTTAAAATTTTTAATAAATATACTCATCTTACTAGTTCTAGTGATTAACATCGTAGTGAGATGTCAATGCTGAAGTCACATCGTTCATAATTGCAAAACGTGTGTTTTTTGTGGGCGTTCGAATGAAGGCTTAGGGCATCTCCAACAAAAAAAAATCATTTCCACTCCAAAATGCAGTAATTTATATCTAATCGAACTCCATTTTTCCGCCTCTTTTGCTCGCTTCTTAATCTTTCTGCAAAGGTAATCAATCATCTTTCTTCTCTTTCGTCCGCTTCTTCGGCAAATCCGTGACACAAAAATTTGACGTAGGTGAACAGTGTGATGCCTCAAACTGTTCACTCACCAAATTTTGACCTACAACTTTTAGCATTCCACAATGAAGCAAATAATTGATAACATACCGCAGTATACAATTCGACTAGAGAGGATCAGTTGGAGATGCCCTAACAAACTTACCAGCCAAATTTATGTTCTCTTCTTGTTGTCAACAAGGCGCCACGTCTGTCTTGATTTTGAGGAAACCGATTGCTCACGCAGCACTGCCGAAGCATACTTCTAATCCTGTAACGAGCCGCAGATAGGGGATTGATAGAACAAAATTCTTCGTCTTCCCTAGCATGAATCTAATGCAGTTCTTTTCGCGAAGCAGAAAACTGAGCGAAATGTTAAGGGTTTCTTTAAGGCCTCCGCTGCCATTGGTGAAATCGGCCCCAAAGGCTCGGTTCTCCAGCACCGTATCTCAGTGGGAGGGCGGGGTTTCCATGGTTCAGGGCGCATCCAGGGGAATCGGGCTCGAATTCGTGAGCTTTTCGTTCTAAAATAAACTTTTTTTAAAGATATATTGGAATTCTTATGTTCCTTTTTTCAAATTTGCGTGGGCTTCGGTGTACTGTTTTCCGTCGAAATTGATAGATGATTATAGTGAATGAGTATCTAAGGCCAAAATTTCTGCTACGTGTGTGGAACACGGTATCTTACTAATAAAACTCTGTGGATCGTGCCTTATGGGTTATGATTCTTATGTCATATTTTATCTTTTTAAAATCAAAGTATTACCACCATTTTGGAATTCACAAATTCGTCAGTTTTCAAAAATTTTAAGTTGATTTTTTAAGTTGATTGTGTTTGATAGGTGAGGCAACTACTTGAGAAAAGCAACAAAGGGCATGTTATTGCGACTTGTCGAAATCCTGGGGGAGCAACCAACCTTCTTGAATTGAAGGAAAAGTTTGGAGATCGTCTCAAGGTACTACCACTTGATGTGACAGATGAGAGTACCATAGAGGTAATGCGACATTTCTTATCTATTGACACCATTTCTGTGCAGTGCTTTCAAAATAAGAAATATCTACTACTAAATTTCAGAAGCGAGTAGTACCTTCATTTGCTTGTACTGTATGTAAACTTGCATAATGAATTCATTAACTTTTTAAAGGGACATTCTCGTAAGTTCTGTTCTCGTCTAGTGTTTATGGTGGGGTGGGCTAGAATTCTTTCTAGTGTTTTAGGAAAATTATTGTATTGAAAAGTGTTATAAATGGAAAGTACTAAAACTAGGGAGATACGTTTTTATAATATTTTGGCATGCTCTTTAGTGAGAATATTCCTCCTTTAAGTCTTTCATTTTGTATTCATCTTGTATGCTTAATTATAGGCACATGATCTTAGTCAATAAGCACAAGAATTTCTTGCAACCAATGTGATGCTATAGTGAGGTTCCCTTACTCTCTTTTTTGTTTTGTTTCACTATATAAATGTGTTTCCAATGTGATATTGAGGGACGTAATGAAGAATTGATAGCTTATTTTAGCTTGTTGCAAATTAGAAATTGCTTGGTTTGCTTGATCTTTTCAAGAACTTTGGGAAATTCTTAATTTCTCTCTTATTTGTGCTTATCCTTCCACCTTTTCTGCCACCCTTGGCCATAATTCTAACCCTAATGCTAGTTGCCTTTCTCTACCTTTCTAACACTCCACAAAAAACCCTAATATTACCTCTAGCTATCAACCACACCTCTAGTAACAAAATCCTAAAAATCTATCTCTTATTGCAAGCAAGGATGTCCATATTCAAAATCCAATTAATTCTATTTTTTAATTTTTATGTTATTTCATATGAGGGTGGGGTTGGGCTTATTTTGGGCTTTTATTAAAATGAATGGTGCTAAATTAATTAAATTTTATGCAGGTGCTTCAGTTGCTTAAATCCTCTTAAATAAAAATATATGGGCAATAAACAGGGTGCTCAATGACTGAACAAAAGCTTTGGTGATTATATGATATGTTTTGATTTGAGTATTTGAATATGAATTGCTTTACTAACCTGTATGGAGTATAAAGTCTTTTCACTATTAAAATATAATTTATTACAAGAGTTGCGAAAGTCTTGAAATGAGATATTTTCTCCCAAAAAGGATCGAGGAACCAAAAGGAAAGAATATCCTTCACTAGAAGATTCTTTTTATTTGGAAGCTTTACTAGAGGTACAAAATCAAGCTAGGAGAGAAGAATTGTAGACTACAGAATGCCCATTGTTTTTATAAAAGACTTGCATCATTCATAGGACTAGAATCCATGTTGTTATTGATGGACCACTTTTATTTTTTTGTAGACCTTGGATTTTATTAAGTGACATTTGCTATAGGAACTTTGAACTTTACTTTATTTTGTTTTATTATTTTTATTGGTGGTTGGGTGAATGTTTATTTATATTGATTGCGCTTTAGAAACCGTAATTTTTCTAATTTTTTTTCCTTGCATGTTCTTTTGCTTGGATTTCTCGATAGGCTTTTATGAAATAAATTTTTTATACTCATAACCAAATAAAAATATTTAAGATAACCTAATAATATAATCAGTTTAGAAAGTAAGCCAGGATTCGCCTAGGGCCTCATAAAACATATAGTTCCTTATTTTCTTCTTAGGCACCTCCCTGTCTGTGGGTAGAAGTAGACCACCCGACTTATGAGGGTGCAATTCTGACTCAAGGGAGTTCTACTCTTTTAGTATAAAACCTATGTTCTAAGCCTTTTTAAAAGTTCACATGATGATTATTGCATGCGAGTCAACTAACATGTATTACACTAGAAACAAATTAATAAAATTTAAAATTTAATTGCATTTATTTCTAGATGCATAATTTCCTTACATAAATCTAGGGCTAGTTAAGAATTTTTATAGACGTCGACCATTTATTTCAAAAATTTTAAATAACAATAGTCTACCCATCTTGCATTTGCATAAGATTGAAATTATAATTTTAAAGCGATTAGGTGGAGTTTTAACTGGTATTTCCACTCCAGGCGAGAATGTAAGTTCAAGAGTGTTGAGCTTTCCGAAACTCTTTTTTGGATTCAAAGATATAAGTCCAATCTCATTGAGTTTGCACTTTGTTAGATTAGGCTTGAGTCACTACTATGTAGTGATTCATCTTAGGTCTAGGTTCTAAGGCTGATTATATATCATAAGACCCCACCCTTTGAGCCTTTCACTGATCTTGTGATCAAAGAATATATCTCAAATTTCTAATAAAATATCAACTCAAGCATAAAATCTCATATTCTAAAATACTAAAGCCCATCATAAGATATATTTGAGCACTTCTAAGTTGTCTCATAATCCTAGTGCTCTCTACTCTTCATCCTTTGATATATCATAGATTATTCAATCTTTTTGCCTCTCTCTTTTAAAAAAAAAAATTATGTAGCATTCCACATCATCTCAAGCCAATTTTATTTTATAATGCATCTATATTGTGATGTTGGGTTGATTGTGGATCAACTTTCTAGAACAATGGGTATGGTTTTATGCCTAGCTGTCTCCAAAATCTGCCTCCATTAACTTTATATGTGTTTTAAAAATTATGTTCTTATTTTTCTCTATTGATATTCTAATTTTGGAATTGCGACATATGATTGCTTCTGCAGGCTGCAGCCACCTCTGTAAAAGAAAGTTATGGCTCTATAAACCTACTGATTAACACTTCTGGAGTACTTTCAATACCTAAAATACTGCAACCAGGTTTGACCTCTTAGCTGCCAAAGGATAATTACTTGGATGTGTAGATTTGAATGGGTGGAAGATGTTTTTTTTATAAATTTTTTACCTTTGTTTCACTTGTTCTTTTTATTGTTTCTGCTAAATTACATTCCTTTTCTTCATTGTTGTGTAATTAAATAATCCGCCACGTTAGATTTTTGAACTTTATTATTAACTAACTAGGATGAATGCTTTTTCATCTTTCAGTTGATGCTGTTTGGTTTGCTTGGACATAGTACTTAACAGATTTGACCTTCTTAGCTGTTAAATGCTAATTACTTGGATGTAGATTTGAATGAAAGGATGATGCAATTTTGTTGTATTTTTTCCTTTATTTCAGTCGTTTCTTTTCTTGAGATTTTGATGCCTCTAGCATTCCTCTGCAAAATGAGATTTCTTTTCTTCGTTTTTGTGTACTTAAATTTTCTTCCGCCTTGGATTTTTAAACTTCATGAGTAACTAACTAGGATATACGTGTTTTACAATTCTGTTGAGTTTTGGCTTGATCGGACATAGTAATACATTTTTGTCTGTGTATTTGAGTGTATGCATGCGCATTTGTTTAGGCTTTTATTTAGCTTATTTTTGCTGATTAAGGTTTTGTTTGGGACGGCTTTCTTACTGCTTCTTAAAACAGATTTCTAGTTAAAAATTTGTATTTTTTGTAGAAAGCTACTTTAAGAAGCAATAATAAAGCCGTCCCAAATGAAACCTAAGTTTTTAGATAAGCCGCTTTCTTTTTCAATTGGAAATAAATTGAGGATTTGCTTCATAAAAGTTTTATGCATATTCTTGTTTGGAGCAACGTTTTCACCCTTTTCTTTCCAAAAAGCTGTCATAATTCTGTTTGATAACAAATTTCTTAATGGTTTTCAAAAAATTTGTATAGTGAGAAGAAATTTTTTCCAAACATATATGCTAGGTTGTGGTGATTGTAAGAAGTTGATGTCCAATTTTTTCAATAGTAAAAATGATTTTTGATACTCTCAAAAACTTTTAAAATATGTGTTTTTCCCTTGAGCATTCCTCAAATTTTTACAAATAGTTGCAACTACTCCAAACAGACCTTCAAAGTATATATGTTACAAAACCAACCAATGATCTCAAAATCCACCAACAAACAACAACAAGTATTTACAATCAACAGGGACCTCTAAGTGCCATGCACATGAAAGCTAAACCTGACCCCTCAAAACTAACCTTCTGAACACCCTTAACTACCAGCCACAATGAGGGCCTTTCCTTATCATTGCTATTGGACAAACTTAACCAGCCAATCTTACCAACGCTAGTACATCCTCTAACATGAGCAGGCTCAGCAACCAGGTCTAGGTGAGTCGTGCTGATTAGAGCAGCAAAGGAAGCGGTAGAATGAGTGGTATTAGCCAAATCCACAAGGAAGGGAACGCAGGTAGAGAATCACTATCAGAGGATCAGATTAGTTAAGGCTTCGTTTGGGACGGCTACTACTTCTTAGTGCAGCTTTTTAGTAAAAAAATTTAATTTTTGTCCTAGAAAGCTGCTTTAAGAACAAATGAGAAAGTTGTCCCAAACAAAACCCAAGAGAGAAAAAAAGCAGAGTGGAGTGCTAGATAGAATCTTTGAGCAGCTTGCCATTTGCGCTCATTCACTTGGCTACACGCAGTCCCATGCTTACAACACTTGGACAAGACACGTGTAGGAGAGATTCTCTCTATGGAAGCATCTTGTTATTTTCTCCTTAGATTTTTTTTTTTTCAAGTAGTTTACCCATCTTTATTATGTGTATTTATTTGCAATTTATGGTGCAGAAACAACATTAAGTAAATTGGAGAAGTCATCACTGATGCTTACATACGAAATAAATGCTGTTGGACCTGTTTTAGTAGTGAAGGTAAATTTTCATTTGTTTCCTTTCATCTATTTGTTTCCTTTCATCTATCTGCTTATCGAGCCAAATTCAGGATCTCACATGTCTTTCGCTTATGACGCTCTCTCTAGCATATGTGGCCACTCCTGAGGGCAGGAGGTGGATCTGGAACTGATAGAGAACTTGCTGTGGTTGCAAATTTGAGTGCTAGAGTGGGCTCTATTGGAGACAATAGATTGGGTGGATGGCATTCTTATCGTTCTTCAAAAACAGCTCTGAATCAATGTATGTTGTGCTCTTTCTATGGCTTTGTAGTACCTCATAATCTTTCCATGATAGGATTCACATTACCTATGTTGTAAGTTGCAAGGTAATCTTACTAATTACTTCCGGCTTTTTCAATGGATATTCTTACAAAGTTTAGCGGGCATTTTAACTGATTTAGGCTTCGTTTGGGGCGGCTTTCTAACTGCTTCTTAAAGCTGCTTTTCAGTTAAAAAATTATAAATTTTCTACTAAAAAGTTGCTTCATGAAGCAATAAGAAAGCCGCCCCATATAAAGCCTTAATTTCTTGAGGGTAAATTGGATAGGTAGAGATGAAGGAGCGAGCTTTTATTTGTTTATGGATGGTTGAGGGGTAGTGCGGGAGGGAGAAAATATGATAAATGATAGTTGAATTGGTATTCTCTGTATAGAAAGATATTATCATTTATTATTGCTGATGGAATTGACAGTTTTCAGGGACATAGATTGTATTACTTGTGCTGCTTACAGACCCGATCTGCCAAATTTAAAATTGATGTTGTTTGTTCTTATTTCATTCAGTTTGTGTCACACTTCTAATAAAAGTTATCAATTTGAGTAAATAGAAATAAAGCAATAGAGGTTTTGGGGGGAGGGGTGGCTGCGAGGAATTAAGGTGTAATTACTGTATATCATCTCCAGTGTTTGAACTAAAATTTTAGTTGGTATTTCAGTGACCAAGACCATTTCTGTGGAATTAGCTCGGAGAAAGGATCCAATAATTTGCATTCTACTGCATCCTGGGACTGTGGACACTGATCTTTCAAAGCCATTCCAGAAGAACGTCCCACCCAGTAAGCTATTTACAAGAGAATTTTCTGTACAAAAGCTCCTAAGCATTATTAACAATGTTAAAGGTAGTGATAATGGAAAATTCTATGATTGGGATGGCCTAGAAATTCCCTGGTAAAAATAGCTGATACCATCCTTCTCTCTCTCTCTCTCTTTCTCTCTGTAGGCCAAATGTTAATATCATGATTTATTAATTGCTGGCAATACCATCTTTGTTTCTGCACATCAAAATTTGTTAATTGAATGCCCAACGGTCATTAACCAAACAAAAGGCTAACAATTGCTTTTATGATTCTATTATATATCATTCATTTGAATTTCAGTGTCACTTGCCTTTCTTTCTTGTTAAATGATATTCATTGTTGTTTAACCATAAAGCTTAAATTCTTGTGAAATAAAATAATTATTTCACTTGATTTGGCTTGTTAGTGTGGATTTTTCTGTTTCAGTTTAAATAAAATCTTCTTCAAGTTACCTCTCAAATGGTTAACCTTATTCAAGAACTATTGTTAATGTAATTTAATAAGAACTGTTATTGTCGATTATGTTATTCTGCAAGCCTAACGAATCAAAATTAGGTGGTTCATTAACCTCCAACAGTGTTGTGGGTGACAACTAATCCGGTAGGTAAGGATCTTTTGAAGTTGCAAAAAGTCTTTTGAGTTCTAGCCTTACATACATCGTAAGGTAGCATAAGAAAAACCCTTAACAGTGTATCCTATCATTTCAGCTTTCATTTATTAGTAAACGAATGGAACACCTACTAGTTAAAGAGCATGATAATGTTTTTTTTCCCTTCTCCTTATATACTTTAAATGCACAATATAGTCACAACTGCAAGGGAATTATTATGTACATAGAATAATTCTCTAAGTGCCAGGTATTTATTATTAATATTTTTAATCCTACCAGCACAAAATCAATCCAAGATAATTTCAAAAAATGATTAAACTAGTACTTAATATTGTTACATATGTTCATTTTAATCTGAGGCCTTTCCATATGTTCATTATTATGCCTAATTTAACTAAATTTGAACCACTTTGAGCCTACCGTTAATTTCGCTGTTGTCTTTGGATGAAATTTGTTGGATAGAAGTTTTCATGAACACCTTTTTGGACTTGTTAAGACAATTTCATTCATTTGAGTTAGTATTAAATAGTGATTAAATGATAATCTTAGCATCTTAGTCCTATGTTCTTGCCTATATATCATTATTAGAAGAGTAATCATATATACTTGGAGAAATCCAAACCTTAAGAAATCTATTTTCTCCCATGATTCAATCAAGATCTCTTTCTATACAATATATCAGAAAAATCTCGTTCTTCCATAATCTTTTGAAGGGTAATTAATAATCTAAAGAAAGCAATTCTCAAAGTATTTCGTTCACTTTATGGACTATCTTTCAAGTCAGCTACTAAATTCTCCGGTAGTACGGAGCTAATACAACTCTTTCATAAAAAAACACTAGCTACTAGTGCAATATAATTTTTTTGTCTAGCACTCTTGTTATTGATAAAGAATAGATATAAGTTCATTAAATATTTATTCAGATACTTATTTCACCATGCAACTTTCCCATTCCTCTCCGGCTAGTTTACATGCATGATGAACACAAGTAGCTAGTTTATATTGGGCAGAAAGTAACCCTAAACTTTGTCCCAGCCGGGCAGGTTATGGTGCTGTTATCCTTAGGATAACTCCAAGCCTGGGGGCAGAGGTGCTTAAAGAACTCATTGTAGGGTGTTTTGCTGCAACTTGCGGCAGTTGTGCAGCACTCCTTCTCATTTCTAAACACTGTACACGGGTCATTGCACCCTCCTGGAGCCTTTAACGGTGCTGGGCATTGGCCAATGATATCTGCTGAGCACTGCAATGCTTTGCACTTACTTGATAGGTTATCAGGACTCAGGCTCATGGGCACGTTGAAGCCTTTGGTGAGCGAGAGGTGGTAGTAGTCCATTCCATCGGTGTTATTGAGTGTGAAACCAGCACCGGTGTACGGCGCCTTGCCCAAGGTGCTGCATTCCAGCCTGCCCCCACAGTCACCAGTCTCACAGCGGCCGACGCCACCATCTTTAAACTCACAGTTGGTTCGACCCCAAACGCGACAATTATCTGTGTTGCTCGCTATAGAGAAGGTCCAATTTTGACTGGGGTTGAGCTGGCGGCCCCCGCCAGGGAGTGCTGCGGCCCACACTGTGTAGGGACAATTGTTTATGATTTCTAGGGTGAAGGCATTGGTTATGGGGAGGAGAAGGTGGAGGAAGAGAGAAGAAGAGAAGAAGGATATTAAACCATGAGAGGCCATCCTTTGGCAGGGGGAGTAACAAGCTATACCAATATATGAGATGATTTTGGAGTAAGCTTAGTTTGATATTTATTTATATGCTAATGATTGCATTAGAGAACAACTTTGATCATACAATCAGAAGTTTGCAAATTATTGGAGTCTGCATTTGAAAAGGTAAAACTTCCTTCAAATTACACATTATGATTTGGTTACTTCAAATATATTTAATTTCATTAGTCTCGACCATTTCCACTATGAGAATGAATCTATATGTGTTTTATGCTGGAACTGCTTGATTCAGCTCTGCCATTGTTAAGATTCTTGCAAGTGTATAAAACATTTTTCTCTGATATGGCAGCAATAGATTTCTTCTTGTGAGGATTGGGAACAACAGTCTGTTTCTTTTTAAAAGTGCTGTACAGATTTATCATTCTTGATAGAAAAAGTAATGTTTAATTGTTCTTTTCTTTTGCCGAGAACAGCTATGTGCCTGCTGCTGTGACAATTGGCAACTTCAGTGGGCTATTAGTCATTGGCAGATATATAAAGAGTAAGGTTTCGTTTGGGATCACTTTTTTACTGCTTTCTAAAGCAGTTTTTTAGTGGGCTATTAGGCTTCGTTTGGAACGACTTTCTTTCTGCTTCTTAAATCAGCTTCCTAGTAACAAAAATTTTAATAAAATTTTTGTAATAGAAAGCTGCTTTAAGAAGCAGCAAGAAAGTCGTCCCAAACGAAGTCTAAATGAAAAAGAAACATTAAAAATATGTCACAGAGTGATGTTCATGTTAAAGTTAATAGAATAAGATATGTTATCTCACCATTAAAAAAAAATTATTCTCATATATTTTGTCCTGAATCAATTATCCCTCAATGATCATACATGCAGCAAAGAGTTCCTGTGATGGCCACATGATAAAAAAACTTGTTAAGAGCTTGCTATTTCAAGGAAAGCAGGAACATAAAAAAAAATAATAAAATTTAATAGAAAAGGCTCTCCTCTTACATTTCTGTTTTATGTATATAGGCACACAACTTAGTAATTATGAGTTAAAATAAGAGACAAATAATAGTGGATAAAACTTGAATCTTATTGCTTACTATTAGCTGTACAAAAAGGATTATATTTATAGGTGAAATTAGTATATAATTAATATGAATAATAATAATAAAAAAAGAATGAGTATTAATGAATTGTTGAAGTGAACACTCATTTTATAGTTGATTTAAGTTTTCTTGAATTATAGTGTATCATAGTGCAAAATTTTTCCAATTTCCAATCCAACTCATCACCTTCGAACGCCTTTATTTTTTAGGGAAATTTACGCACATACCACTTTATTTCGTGCTATTTACATATCTAACACCCAAAACATTAATATTACATGTCTACCATCGATATACAACTTTAATATTAAATATATCACTCATGTAATTCATTTCTAGCATTCATAATCATAACATCCCGTAAACTTTAATATTTCATTCCATGCATCTAAATTTGTTCTATGGGTGGTAGACATGTAATATTAATATTTTAGATGTTAGATATGTAAATAGCATGAAATAAAGTGATATGTATGTAAATCTTCCTATTTTTTATTATTTTTTTGAACAACATAGTCCTAAACTTAGAATGCCAAAAAGTGCCTTGGGTTACAAACAAATTTTCATTTAAATTTAGGTTTTGTTTGGGACAGCTTTCTAATTATTTTCAAAAGAAAATTTTTAATACAAAAGTTTCTTGAATTTAAAAATTTTGTATTGTAAGAAAGTTATCTCAAACAAAGTCTTAGATTTCGTTTGTGACAGCTTTCACATTGATTTTTAAAATGACTTTTTACTATAAAATTTTCTAATTCAAAAAATTTTTGCACTAGAAAATTGTTTTAGAAAGCAACAAAAAAACTGTACCAAACGAAGCCTTAGTTTCTCGGAGTTCTTGTGATCTTTATAAAACTCTTATTAATGAGATAGAGAATGATCCCTAAAATAATTTTAGGGCCTACTGATGATCAGAAGAGACCCTAAACATCTTTTTTTTTGGGGAACTGGGTACTTCTCACTGCCACTCTAAAGGGAGCGCTTGCCAGCATAACTAATCTCTCTACGGAACCTAGCAAGTCCACCCATCGGCATCAGACCCCCACTTTCTTTGCCCCATTGAAGAGGTGAGACCGTAATAATGGGGATTCGAACCTGGAGTGGGGGGTTCCCAACTGTGCTCCTCCACCAAACACTCTAAGCCTCCGTGGATTAAACATCTAATATAAATAGAAGAGGCCCAGAGTTGTAAATAAAAATATTTTACATAAGTTATTCAACATAAAATGTTTTTTAAGTGATTGATTAGTCTAATTAGTTCCGTTTGAAATGTTTGTTTATATTGAATCGTATTCAAATTTAATAAATCCACTGATAAAACGGGTTTTGTCAATCAATCTACTTTCAAGAAGGTCATCTTTTGCGTCCATCCGCTGCTATTTGAGACCGAGAAAAAGGGCTTTGACAAATCAGTTGATTAAATCGTTAGATCTCTAATTGTTAAAGAAAGCGTGAAATAGGTTCCTTTATTTCAACCGACTACTTTATTTTTTATTTTTTGTTTCAGTCCTCTTTTAAGGGCTCTTTGTTTGATTGAAAAAATATATATATATATATAGTGTAAAATAAATACTTTAGAGTTGTTTCAATGAATGTAAAGTTTTAATTAGAAATGACCAGCAGTGGCCGGTGGCGGCTGGGAGGCTGTGGGCGGTGGCAGCCAGCAGTGGCCAACAGAGGAGGGAGGTCGGTGGTAGTGGCATGTGGTGGTCGGCGTCAGGTAGTGGTCAAACAAGCTTGTGGTGAAAATGATTTTCACTCAAAATGAATTAGTTCACTTTACATTACTTTTACCATACTTTAGTTTGCAACATTTATAAAACTCTTGTATTTGAAATACTTTATACCATAAAGTAATTCAACCAAATCGCTCATTAAATTTATATTGAAATTTATGCAGCATGTGATATAATTTAAGGGTGTAATTGAGTCAGGCTGACTCGGGCTCGACTTGATAAGTGGCTTGTGAGTCGATCTTGATGAGCTAACAATCTAATTTTGAGCCAAACTTGAATCGTTTAGTTAGCATGTGAGTCGGCTTATTTAAAAAAAAATACTAATAGTAAATATACTTTAAACATATAAAAAATTAATACATTTAGTATAAAATTTGTTTAAAATATTAAAATGGTTTATTTATCTTTCTTATTTCAAGAGAGTACTTATTATTTTTCATTTAATTTTATACTTTTTGCAATATTTTATAATAATTTCTGCATAAGAATAATTTTCTCTTTTTTATACTTTAACCCATCCTAATGCAATTTTCTTAGACAAATATGACACAAGACATACATAAAAAGAAATTGCTAGATTTTTCTAAAAATGGTTATAGACTTATAATCTAAGATTAGTCTTCTTACATTATAATACATTCTCAATAAATCACAAAAAAATTTTAATCAACAATAAAAACAATTATAGATAATTATATATTGTATGATGAAAATAATATCACGCATGTCTTATAAAATATGAAGAACAGTTTTGTAGTTTGTAATAAAATAATTACAAAATAAGCTATATATTAACATGATGTAATTAATAAATCATTTTTTTATTTCATTAAATTTTTTATTATTTTTAGAAATCTTTACCTATCATCATATCAGCTTAATTATGATATTTGTTTGAGTTTTTGTAAGCTATTTTTTCACAATTATTTTATAATTAATTTATAGATAATTACAGGCATTGTCTCTAACGGATACTAAGCTACTTTTGCTAAAAAATTTCTAATTTGTACTATCCCTTGCTTAAATTCTTAACTAATTATTAAATGAGCGATAATTAACCTATTTTTTTATTATAATTGCAAAGCTTTTTTCCATCAGTACATGTTTCCAACATTATTTAATTTGAAATAATTGTCGATTAAATAAATAATTAATATATTATCATAATTTTCTATTTAAAAAAAAAAAATCAAAATTTAGCCATGATAGGCGGCTTAAATTTTTGGTGAGAATATGCATGTATTAAATCATTATTTTTATTATATTTATCTTAAGGTAAATTTAAGAATTTCAAAGTTTATCTGAATTAATTTTTAATCACATAAATATTTTGCAAATATATTTTTAAGAATTATGAGAGTCATGTCTATTTTTGCATAATTAAATGTCTCAAAATTTTTATTGAAATATGATTTACATAATTTTCTTCAATAATCAGTATTTAATTATTTATAACCACTAATATTCGAACTTTTATTCGGTCCGGTGAACGTATGCAAATCTACGTTCGGCCACCAATATTTTAGCGCCACGTAGCATGAAGAAAAGTCGCCGACCCGACCCGCTGTTTTTTGGGTTCTTGCACGTGCGTTTTTTTAAATCATTGACGAGCCGAACAAAATCTCATCACCTTTTGGATATATTTCAAATAACTAGCAATATCGAGCAAATACCAAGTTGTACCTAGTTTTTTCTAGCAATACCGAGCAAATACCTAGCAATACCGAGCAAATCCCTAGCAATACCGAGCAAATACCTAGCAATACTGACCAAATACCTAGCAATACCGAGCAAATACTGAGTTGTACCGAGTTTTTTCTAGCAATACCGAGCAAAAACCTAGTAATACCGGGCAAATCCTGAGCAAATACTGAGTTGTACCGAGTTGTAAAAAACTCGGTACAACTCGGTATTTGCATGGTATTGGTCTTCACAGAGCGGTATTTCTCATTTTTGCAAAGCAATACCTAGCAAATACCGAGCAATACCGAGAAAATCGCGAACATAGCATTCCAGGGTTCCGCTCCGGGTCAAGTCGTCGGGCCGCGCGATTTAGAGTAAGAGCACGTGGCGACATGTTATTGGCGGCCGAACGTAGCTCTACGTCCGGTCAGATGACGTAATAATTGTTCCTAATATTCATATTCAAGAACTATTAAAAAAAAATATTTGCATCTTAAAACTATCAATAATATTCAAATTCTCTTTTAACCCACTCAAAATTTTGATATATCCCATTCGGGCGCTTCTTCGGCCAAATCTCGCAAGTTGTATGCGGCTTCATGTTGGGTTGGGTCAACTCGATAATCCGGCGGGTCGAGTATGGGTTGCATTTTCTGGCCGGATTTGAATCATGTCAAATATATAGTAATGGGACAATATCTAGTTCAACTTGAATCTGACCCATAACCCAATTTTGCCCCCTAATTGCATGGATTTAGCAACCCATTTTAAGTACTTATCCCTTATAAAATAAAAGAATTCACTGCAAACTAATACGTAACATATCATATTATTCACCAATACAAATTTAAGTCAAATACATTACAAACAGATAAGAAGAACACATTAATTAAAACATCACAACCATTCCGTTTTCTTATTGTCAGAAATTCACAGACCAATATTCGATCGATCAAGCTATAATCAATCATATATTTATACAAATCAGGAATTCTTACGGGCAAAAGGTGACTGTAAAATCCCCACCCGACGTGCAAGTGAAGGTGCTGGTCGGATCATCCATGGGATAGCTGCAAGCATTTGGGCAAAGGCTTTTGAAGAACCTCGAATACTTTGTCGGAGAACAGCTTCCCACCTTATTGCAGCAATACTCATCAGTCTTGAACACGTCGCAAGCGCTCTTGCATCCTCCGGCGGATTTCAGCTCCGACGGGCACTCCGGGGTCAAGTTGTCAGTGCACGTTACCGCGCTACAGTTTGCTGGTCCGGTCGGGTTGACGGCGACGGGGAGATTGAATCCGTTGACGAGAGTGATGCCGTAGAAGTCGTTGTTGCCCCATTGGTATAACGAGTATTCGATGACGGTGGCGGGGGAGGATGGGTTGGAGGTGCAGTTGAGAGCGCCGGAGCAATCGCCGGAGAGGCAGGTGCCGGTGCCGGAGGAATCGAAGGTGCAGTTGGTGCGAGCCCAGATGGTGCCGAAGGTGGAGCTGGTGGTGTTGGTGGTAAAGGTCCAGTTTTGGGAAGGGGGGAGATGGAGGCCGCCGCCGTAGGGGATGGAGCCGGGCCAGATGGGATGAGAGCAGTTGTTGTTTATGAGAAAGGTGGTGGCTTGGTTGAGGGGGAGGAGGACGAGGAGGAGGAGGAGGAGGGGGAGGGATGTGGGGAGAAGAGAAAGTAACACCATTGGGGGCAGTGGATGCTGCAGAAGCCATCGGAGCAGTCATTGTCGGTTGTTGCCATGGATGGAAGGAGGAGGTAGTTAGGCGGGTGAAGAGGAGTCTGCCATGAAAGGGGTTCTCACGTATTTGGAGATTTGGGAGAAAGAAGGGAGAGGAGAGGATTGGAATGGGTGATGAAAATAAAGTTTGTAGGTCTGCGAAGAATAATCTATGAGACGGGTTCGAGTTTAATAAACGAATCCGTTTAAAAAATCGGATCGGGTTGACTAAAAAACCTGAAAACTCGTCTGCCCGCTTCTGTTTCTCACTCTGCCAGCCGCGTCTCTTCGTATGAGTCACTAGTGACGTCGCTGTCGCATCTCACGCACCGCGTCGCTGTCGCCGCTTCTTGTCTGATAACAAATTTCAATCTTTATTATAAATTTATTTCTAATAATAAAACAATCTCAAAGTAAAAAAGATGTTCAAATATAACTTTATGACAGCCTCTTTTCAGAAAACATAACTTCAAATTGGATTTGTCGTTCTTCATTTGTCACATCAAATTTGATTTCACACGTTTGATGACTGCATGAGTCTATTTTGTTCAGATAAAAATGTTTTCGGAGGAGAAAAGTCTAAATATGTCGAATTAGTTACAGTTAAGATGGCAGACTCTGAAATAAATTTGCATTATTTTGAGGGTTTTATTGTTATAAACGGCACATAATTTCAACGGCTTTCATATAGCAACCCTTCCGTATGATATTTTCTCTTCACTTGACTTTGTGCGAATGTGTGCCCCTTAATTCAGCAAAGCGTTTTGAATGGTCGACATTAATGGTTGATTCTATATGTATTAGTATCTTTCTTTTATGCTATGTTTCTTTTAATTTTAAGGGATGAAAATTTATCTCATATTTTTATTGAGTTTAAGTTACTGGATATAAAAAATTGGCTTGATATGTAAATACTATCCTCCATCATCAGATAACGGTTCTCCGATCATCATTGTTTGTCATCACCTAGATACTATCCTCCGATGATAGTCTCTTAAATACAATCCTCTCATCACTATCACCCTACTATAATAATCCCACTATCTTCGAGTGACTAATGTCATTTGCCATCATGTTCCAACTGTGATCCTTGGACCCATATTGTCCGAATATGATGTCGATCATTTAATCATTATCTCCCATCTGACCACAATTGTAAGACTATAGTCATGTAACCACCGTTGTCTGAATACGATCACCACTTGATCACTTTTACCCAATTATGATCATCTGCTAACTATTGTTGATCAACTATGACATCTCTATCATCATCATCATCAAAATGTGATCTCACAATCACCATCACCTAACTATATGGTCTTCCGACCACCATCACCCAATTATGATCTCCCAATCACCATCATTTAACTATAGTCTTTTGACCACCATCACAAGGCTATGATCTTCTCATCACTATCACTTGAGTATGATGATCAACTTCTATATACTTCATTACCTACCATCACTAACAACATCAATGCACAAACTATTGTCTATAAATTTAATACAAGTTATTAACATAAACTTCAATGACCATCGACTTTATCGTTCATTGTTGCCACCAACATCAATGCTTGGCGCACACAATCACTTATAAAATTAATGCACATTGTTGTCATTAACTCGGACTTTCAATAACAACACCAATATTTATAATGAACTTGTTTGTCTTTAGTACCTCTTTTCAAGAACAATGACCAGACAGACAAAAGATATTATTGATGACATTATATCCAGACCTCCTCCAATTATGTGGATGGACTCCATTTGTAATTGATAATAATTAATTACTAGTGAAATAACATAAAAAAATCTGATGTCCCTCAATACTCATCTTTTATTTGTGTGCCTAATTTTCGTACAATGTTAAGATGTTTAACACTTCTTCTCTACAATTGCATGTGCTCTAGCTCACAAAAATTATGCTTTAGGTTCTTGCCCTGAGGGAATTATTTCATGCTTCTTAATTAAGATGATTCTATATGGTATCATGATTTATTTTATGGGGATTTTCAAATATACTACAAAATACATACTACTTTAATATATACATCACATCAAAGCACATACATTAATTTTTTTATTTTAAATAAATAAATATAAGTGATAATTTTGATACATTTTATATTTAAATGTTATATAAATAAATATAAAAATTTAAGCATAGATATATAAACAAAGTAGACTTTTGTGGTATACTATATATGTAAATCCCCCTTTATTTTATTATTTATTTTAATATAACTTTCTATTCTACAAGATTCTATTTAGAGAGAGAGTTTATATATATATTTCATTATTTTTTTTACTCTTATAAAAAAATTTATAAATATGACTTTTCTTAATACCGGCACATATATATGATCATCAAATTTTGCCACGATCAGTTCTTTATATATGGCACCAAGCAAGCTCTTTGAAATCAAAAAATCTCTGGGAACTAGTCTAAGAGTCTCTTCTCATCACGTTAAAAACAAAATATAGAAATACTCAGTGGCCATTCAAGAAAGTTTTCTATCTCGGGTTAATTAAGCATGTCACTAACCAACATAACCTTATTTGCAAAAGTGAATTCCTCATGTCTTAAATGATGCGAAGTAGACAAACATCCTAAAGTTTATATACATTATACGAAGGAGAATGACGCGCATGAAATGCTTTGATTTAAATTATATTATCTAATGCGGCTCTTGAGGATTTATTTGGTACGATTGCAGCATTTTATAAAATTAATTGTGAAGTTGTTATAAGTAGCCAAATAACTCTGGTTGTAAAAAGTAGGGGTGTCAATTCGGGTTAACGGTTCGGCTTCGGAATTGTTCGGGCCAACCCGAACCCGACCCATTTTTAAAAACGGGTCAGGTTTCCAAACCCGAACCCGATCGATTCGGGTTCGGGTCAACCCGACCCGACTCGAATGACCCGAAGTTCACCTAAAATTGCTAGTTTTCGGGTCAAAATCGGGTCAATCTTCGATTTTTGGGTCAAAATGTGGTCAATCTCGGGTTTCCGAGTCAAATAGAAGTTTTCGTGTCAATTTTGGGTCAATTTCGGGTTGCTGGGTCAACCCGAACCCGACCCAATTTTTAAAACGGGTTGATTTGTTGAACCCGAACCCGACCCATTTCGGGTCCGAGTTGACCCTAACCCGGATTTTTCCAGGTCGGGTTCGGGTCGTGTCAAAATTTGACACCCCTAATAAAAAGTAACTTTCCACCCCAAAAATTAAAAAAAATGCAAGAAAACAATTAAAAAGTTATAGCCAAGAAAAATTGTAGTTGCTATCTGGAAAATAAATCTGCTAGAAAGCTGTCCCAAACAAATCATAAATTCTATATTGAACCACAAGATCAATATATGATATAAAATTATAAATCAACAATGCATTTCTAGGCATGTAAAAGTCGTATACGTTCTTTAGGACTCTTTCAAAAGAGTCATCGTGTAATTTCTTAATATTGCTTTAAAAAGAAAGTCATTTGGTGCCGATTGCATATTTTAACATGATGAAAAATTTAGCTCAAACCTATCAATCTATCATCATCATAGATAGCCCCAGTGATCATAAATTAGTATTGATACGTCATGCAAAAATTATCTTGATGATAGGGCACGAATCTCGAGGCAAAAAGCTAGTTGGAAACTTCAAAAATTAAATCCGGGAGCACCTGAACTTCGATTTCAGCAAACTTACATCTGGCAACTTATATATCATCATAGATAATCATGGAGCAAAACACATTAGAAACTTATATGTTTACATCAAGACATCATATCAGATGCGTCACAAACAGAATTCTAATAAATACTATCAAGCTTAGTCATCTATATGTAAGCAATGAAGGAAGTGTAGATGCTCAACCTAAGAGTGGTGCATCTGACGAGCAAATCTTGAAGTGATGCATGCATCTAAAATTTGCATGCATGTGTGCAACATGCATGCCATACAACATATAAAGCCTAGGCTAACGATCACATAAATTTGGTTATCAAGCATAAAATTCATAATTTATATACGTTAAGTTACATGTATATTGATGCCATATTTACATGCCAATGAAGCTTTATTTGAGCTATATCAAATAAAGCCATAATGCAAAAACCATCTCCTCACCCACATATAGTGATTATGGGTTCATTTGGCTGGATGTCTTCAGTTTTTTGTAAAGGTGATTGTAAAATCGTTATGAAGAAAATAATTTTTTTAAAGTTGTTATAAAAGTATCTTCTTTACACAATTTTTTTTTTAAATAGTTATGAAATAAAAACTATATAGGATAGCTATTTGAAAAATAAAATAGCATAAAAGCTAAAAATAATGACCATATTTAATTTCCTTATGGCCTTACCATGTTCCAATTTTCTTTTCAAAATAATGATAAAAAGAAAATAATCTGTAATTAAACTGATAATTTAAATATAATAAATACATTATACATAGAAAATATATAACAAGTAAAATAGTCAATATCTCATCAACCACCCCCTATATATCCTCTTATTCTCATAAATTCACAGACGACGCATACAAACTAAATCCATACAGTCATACAGATGTAGTTAATTATGTTTCCTTACGGGCAAAAAGTGACCCTATAATCTCCACCAGATGTACAAGTAAATGTGCTGGTCGGATCATCCATCGGATAACTATAAGCATTAGGACAGAGGCTTTTAAAGAACCTCGAATACTTCGTCGGCGAGCAGCTTCCCACCTTATTACAACAGTACTCATCGGTCTTATACACGTCGCAAGCACTCTTGCACCCTCCGGCCGCCCTCAGCTCCGGCAGACACTCGCCGCTGATATTCCCGGTGCACTTCACCGCGCTGCAATTTCCGGGCCCGGTCGGGGTAATGGCGACGGGGAGATTGAATCCGTCGGTGAGGGAGATGTCGTAGAAGTCGTTGTTGCCCCATTGGTAAAGGGAGTATTCGACGACGGTGACGGGGGAGGAGGGGCGGGAGGTGCAGTTGAGGGCGCCGGAGCAGTCGCCGGAGAGGCAGGTGCCGTTGCCGGAGGAATCGAAGGTGCAGTTGGTGCGAGCCCAGATGATGCCGGAGGTGGAGTTGGTGGTGTTGGTGGTGATGGTCCAGTTTTGGGAAGGGAGGAGTTGGAGGCCGCCGCCGTAGGGGGTGGCGGCCGGCCAGATTGTTTGAGAGCAGTTGTTGGTTATGACGAAGGTGGTGGCTTGGGAGAGGGGGAGGAGGAGGAGGAGGAGGAGGAGGAGAGGGGTGGTGGCCGCCATAGTACTTTTTTTTCTTTATAACAAAGCGTGGTTGGTAATTGTATTTTGTGGAGGAGATGAGATTTATATAAGAATGGGAAGGGAGAGACTATTTGTGGAAAAATTGAGAGAGTTTGTTTTGATTTGAATTGTTTGACCGTTGGATGGATCCGTTGTGTTTGAAATGGAAGGGCAGGTTTCGGTGATGGCGGGGGAAGATGGAAGTTGAACAAGTGCTGTACGTGATTGATTGATTTAAGGGCATGCAGTAACTTTATTTTGTAAGTCAAAGTTTGAGAAGTTTTTATTTATTTTATTTTTTAAGGGCATGCAGTACTTAGAAAAAAAAAAGTATTTATATTTACTCGTAAAATTGATGTATTCTCAACCTATATATATATTATCAATGTGTCGGTTAGGGCGATTGCAGGTCTGTGGATAGAAGATGACTAAGCTTTCATTCGGGATTATATTCTTGTTGTTTTTTAAAATAATATTTAGTATAAGAAAATTTTGAAATATAAATTTTTTATTAGAAAATAATAAGAAAGTTGTTCCAACTGAATCATTTTTTATTTCTTTTTAAAGGAACTTTTAAAACAAAAATTCTAGTATTAAAAATTTTGTATTAAAAAGCTGTTCTATAAACTATTTAGAAAATTATCATAAATGAAAGCTAAATCAATTAGAGTATGTTGAGATGGATATTAATTTATTAATTAGTTTTATGTATGATTTATTGAAATAAAGTTGATGGTAAAAATATGTTAATTTGGACTTCGTTTGGGACTATTTTTTTGATGCTTTCTAAATTTACATTCTTGTACAAAAAATTTTAATTCAATAAAGGAACTTTTAAAACAAAAATTTTATAAAATATTTAGAAAATTATCATAAATGAAACCTAAATCAATTAGAGTATGTTGAGATGGATATTAATTTATTAATTAGTTTTATGTATGATTTATTGAAATAAAGTTGATGGTAAAAATATGTTAATTTGGACTTCGTTTGGGACTATTTTTTTGATGCTTTCTAAATTTACATTCTTGTACAAAAAATTTTAATTCAAGAAATTTGTGTACTATAAAGTTGTTTTAAAAAGTAACAAAAAAATTGTCCTGAAACAAACCTTAAACAATTGAAGAAAGAAAATATTTTGTTTTGAAATGCAGAAACTTATCAAATTGAGAATTTTCCTAGAAATGATGAAGATGATTAGTAGAAAGATTGTAGTTTTTCTTGAAAGAAGAATTAGTAGGGTTTGCCATAGATGTTAACCTTGAAGCGTAGAGAGGAGGAATAATAGGAAGAACAAACATGAGCAATTTTCCAATATTACTTAGCCATCAGGGCCAATAGATCCACTCGGATAGAATTGAGAGTTGGTCTAAGACTAAGATTTCAATTGTGATAGTTTTTTTATTGCTTTCTAAATAATATTTTAGTACAAAAATTTCTTCAACTATAATTTTTTGTACTAGAAATCTGCTTTAGAAAGTATTATGAAATATGTGATCCTAGACGAAGCCTAAAGGTTTGTTTGGGATAGTAATAGCATATTTTGAAGATGATTATAAAGTTGATGTGAGAAAAAAAATATTTTCAAACGATGGTGTTAAAAGGAGCTTCTTAGCACATAAATTCTTGAAAGTAGTTAAAAGTAGTAGTCAAATACAAATTATTGTTTTCATCATCCTCCCGTGTCTGCTAGGGTTTTCTTTTCTGGTGCTCGCCGGGTTTCCTCTCGCCCGCTGGGGCCTCCCCCTTGCTGGCGCTGGCTTCCTCAGTGGTGGTCAGGGAAGTTTTCTCGTTCCTATTTTGTTTACCTTCGTTTGTGGGTTTTTTTCCCATTTTGTTTCTCCCCTCTCTGGCGTTCGCCGGATGGCCCCGATTCGTTTGAGCGACTCTGGTTTTTTAGGGGGGTCGTCTCATTCACGTTCTTTTTTTGATGCGCTTGCTGGTTCCAACTCATCTTCATCTTTCCCGGCTCTGCAATCATCCATGTTTCGTGGTTTACCCTCATTGTGGATCTCTGACATGGAAATTAACTCTTTGGCTTCCCTCTTTAAGTTTTCTCTTGTTGATTTTTTTCCTACTAATAGACATTCTCTTGATTCTATCAGAAAGTTTTTCTTTAACATGAAATTAAAGGGTGATGTTTCGGTTACTCTGCTTGATCTGTCGCGCATTTTGATCAAGCTTGCGAATTGAATGATTTGGACTACTGTAGGGTATTCTGCTATCGTTCTTACATTGTTTTCAATTGTTTCATGAAGCTCATGAAATGGTCACCGTCCTTGGATGTTGGTGTCGAATCGTCGATTATCCCGATTTGGGTTTCTTTACCGCTTTTGCATCCTCATCTTTAAAACCCTCGTATTCTCCATGCTTTGGGTGCGTTCTTTGGCAAACCTCTAAAAATTGATGAGGTTACCTCTGTGGGTTCCCGGCACTCTATGGCTCGTGTCCTTGTTGAGCTTGATATCATTAAATCCTATCCTAACCAAGTTTTGTTAGGGTCTGAGTCTCTTGGGTATATCCAGGAGGTTGCTTTTTATGAGTTTCCCCATTTCTGTACTCCTACAAGTGCATTGGGCATTTAGTTGGGAAATGTCGTCCCCTGCGCCCTAATGATCTATCTATTTCTAATACTGTGCCTAGTGTTGCTAAGCAGGAGTTGGGGGCTGTGTTGATTGCTGCAGAGGCTTCTCTGTCTCTTGCAGTGGTTCCAAATGGTAGCTCCCCCCTCCCTTTTCCTATTTTGCCGTTAACTAATGTGGAAGATTGTTCAGTTGAGGTTTCTGAAGCTGATTGTTTCCCTACTATTTTGGGTGTGAACGGTAATCCGATTTTGATTTGCTCTTCTTCCCCTACCCCTGTGTTACCGTGCCCTATTGTGGGGGATTGCCCGCCCGCTTGTGATTAACACAGTGAATGGTGGTCCTATAATTTTGGCTGCTGGTGTATTAAGTTCTGTTGACAATTCAGTTGGTCTCAAGGGTTGTCCACCTATTTTTGCCCAAGTGCATGGTGCTCAACTCCATCGGGTCTATGTTACTGATGTTGGTGCTCTAGAAGATGGTATCTCTTCGAAACACATTTTAGTTGGTGCAATTTCTAGGCCTGTTTTGTGTGGTTTGGCTTTAGCTGGTAGGCTTGGTGAGCAGTCGTCTTCATTTGTTTATCCTAGGCATGATTTGTCTAGCTGAGCGGTTAATTCCCATATTCGGGAGGATGCCCATTTTGTTAAGATTCAAGATCATCTTGAGGATGCTACTTCCTCTTCGGGTAAAACTGCTTTGGATAAGGTTCATGTTGCTGATATAGTTTCAAATTCTTTTGTGGATGTGCCTGTTAATTTAATTGGGCCTCAAGCTTTAGTGTATTATGTGGGAGACAATTCTGGGGTGGATGTGAGGGTACATCTCGATTGGCTTCATTGTTCATCCGAGTATGAGTTCGATTCTGGTTCCTCTTTGGAGTCTGATGGGGGTGATGATCCTGAGAATGCTTTTGTCTTGCTGCGTGACAAGACGGTTGTGTCTGTCGCCTCTTCTGGGAGGGGCAGACAGGGTATGCAATCTTCTCTGTTCGTCCACTGGGGTGGATTTTGGACTGTGGCAGTTGGCATTTGTTTTATTTTTCTTTCCTGATGGCTTATTGCACGGGTTTAGTGGTGATCAGATTTTTTTATTCGGTTGGCCGTTGGTTTTGCCGAGCTATAATGTGGCTGGGGCTCACTTTTTCGTCGGCATGGCTCGTGGCAACCTTTGGTGGGTTCGGTTGGGTTGGTTGCTTTGCGTTTCGCGTCACCAAATTAGATGGTCTGAGCTTCTTTTTCGGAAAGCTGGAAGCCTCGGCCAATTACTGAGCCGTTACGATTGAATTCCGCTTCTATTTTCTTTTGTTTCCTGTAATTTTTGCTTCTTTTCTTCGTGTAACCTTTTTTGGTATTTAATGAATACTTTATTTGTTTTTAAAAAATACAAATTATGGCCATATTCTCAAAAAATAAAATAGTAACTATATTATCCCAAACAAATCCCAAGCCATCAGGTTCGACTGATCGGCCACACAAGTAATTCAGATGGGTAGTATATATTGGGATGCAAAAGATCATTAAATATATATCATAGCTAGGTATACAAGTAATTCTCTGCTTCTCTCTCTTTAATGATATATATATAATTTCTTTGTAAAAAATTTAGGGGAAATTCTTTTGGAGATATTTAATTTATAAAAAAATAAAAAAAAAACTTTTAAATGACTAGTTAATTACATCCATATACCATATATTATTAAAAATAAAAAAATCAAGAATATCTTCATCAATCTTTTATTAGGGTATGTTTAAAAAAAAATTATGTTTATACATACAAATATATTACTAAAAAATTATTAATGTATATGTAAAAAGAATTGTAATTTTTAAAGTTTACAAGTAACAGTTATCTTTATTTTTAATTATAAAAAGAAGAGAATTCCAAAGAACTTTCTGTCTTTGGTAAAATTTTCAAAGAGACGAGAACGCTGAACACGAGATTAGAAACGTAGAAACAGCAACGAGTAATTTCCAGAAGAAGAAATTTCAAAGTTTCATAGCCGAAAATATTTGGCCAATGAAGGAACAATTATTACGTCCTCTTACTGGACTTAGAGCTACATTCGGCCGCCAATAACATGTCGCCACGTGCTCTTGTACCTTACCGCGCGGCCCGACGACTTGACCTGGACATGAACCCGGGAATGCTATGTTCGTGTATTGCGAGGTATTACTCTGTATTTGCTCGGTACAACTCGGTATTACTAGGTATTGCTTGACAATAACGAGAAATACCGCTGTGAAGACCAATACCGAGCAATACCGAGTTGTACCGATTTTTTCTAGAAAAACTTGGTACAACTCAGTATTGCTCGGTATTACTCGGTATTTGCTCGGTATTGATTATTGCCGAGCAAAATCGACCAATATCTAGCAATACCGAAAAATACCTAGCAAAATCGAGAAATACTGAGCCATCCTG